CAGGTTACTGTGGACTCGGTTGGTGTTGGGGCTGGAGGTGCAGCCACTGGCGGTGCTAGGTCTGGGGGCGCTCGGTCGCGGGGTGCTGGAGCTGGAGGTGCTGGCGCAGGTGGCGCTAGCTCTGGGGGTGCTGGAGCTGGAGGTGCTGGCGCAGGTGGCGCTAGCTCTGGGGGTGCTGGAGCTGGAGGTGCTGGCGCAGGTGGCGCTAGCTCTGGGGGTGCTGGAGCTGGAGGTGCTGGCGCAGGTGGCGCTAGCTCTGGGGGTGCTGGAGCTGGAGGTGCTGGCACTGGTGGTGCTAGTTCTGGGGGTGCTGGAGTTGGAGGTCCTGGCACTGGAGGTGCTGGTACTGGGGGTGCTGGAGTTGGCGGTCCTGGCACTGGAGGTGCTGGTTCTGGGGGTGCTGAGTCTGCGGAGTCTGACCCTGGTTCTGCGGAGTCCACTCCGCCTCCCCACCGCCACGACACACGACTCCAGGCTGCCCGCCAGCGTGAGCGTGAGGAGCAGGAGCGGTTGGAGAGGGAGCGGCAGGAGCTGCGGGTGCTGGACCTTCTGGAGCAGCAGCGGCAGCAGCAGCAGCAGCAGCAGCAGCAGCAGCGGCGGCAGCCGCAGCGGCAGCCGCATCAGCAGCCGCAGCCGCAGCCGCCGCCGCAGCAGCAGCAGCCGCAGCCGCCACCGCAGCTTCCTCTGGAGCGGCAGTTGTTCCCACCTGTGAGTGGCCTGCGGGCCCTTGGCTTTTCCTCCTCTCCTCCTGTCCGCTCCCAGTCTCCTCTTGTGCTTGTTCCTCCGTTGCCTCCTCCTGACGACCGTCCGGCGGTCTGGTCTTCTCCTCCTCCCCAGTCTCCTCCTCCTTCGGTCCGTCGCGACTTGGTCACTCGTTGTCCTCCGCGTGCTCGTCACTCGTCCCCTGTTACTGACCTCCGCACTGCCCTCCTTTGTACGTCTCGTCGTCGTTCTCCTTCTCCTGTGTCCATTCTCCCGTCTCCTCCTCCGTCCTCTCTCCCGGCCCTCCCCACTCCTATCACTGACTACTACCGCAATGTTCGTCCTGTTGCCGCACGTGTCCTCGCCACTCTTGTCACCGACTCTCGTTTTCCTCCGTCGTCGGTCTCTGCTCTCACTGCCGCTGTCGCTGAGTTTGCTGCCGCCAGCCGCCTTGACTACGCCACCCGTGTGGTGCCAGCTCCTCCCTACCGTCCTCTGTCCGTGGGGGGTGAGTTTGCCCTTGGCTGTGACGTCCTAGAGGACAGAGAGTATGAGCTGGAGTACTGGGCAGCCGCTTCTCCCTCTGTGTGTGCCATGCTGCTCTCCCCTGAGGGAGACCCCGACGCCCTTGACATACCGACTCCTCGCACTTACCGCGAGGCAGTGTCAGGGGCGTGGGCCTCTCAGTGGAAAGCGGCTATGGACTCAGAGTTGGCGTCTTGGAGATCCATAGGCACCTACGTCGACGCAGTTCCCCCTCCCAGGGCGAACGTAGTCGATGGCATGTGGCTCTTCAAGGTGAAGCGGCCGCCTGGAGCACCGCCGGTGTTCAAGGCGCGCTACGTGGTTAGGGGCTTCAGTCAGCGTGAGGGAGTTGACTTCTTCCAGACCTTCGCCCCGACCCCGAAGATGACTACTCTTCGGGTGTTACTCCACATAGCAGCGCAGCGAGACTACGAGCTGCACTCCCTCGACTTCTCCACTGCGTTCCTCCAGGGCCGACTGCACGAGGAGATCTGGCTGCGCCGTCCTCCTGGCTTCACTGACACCTTCCCACCTGGGACCCAGTGGAGCCTGAGGCGACCAGTCTACGGTCTCTGCCAGTCGCCCCGTGAGTGGCACGACACTCTTCGCTCCACGCTTCGTGACCTTGGGTTCAGCCCGTCCTCCGCCGACCCGTCGCTGTTTGTTCGAGCGGGTTCTACTCCTTTCTTTATCCTTGTCTACGTCGACGACTTGGTGTTTGCTACAGCAGACAGGGCAGCCCTGGCTCACGTGAAGTTCGAACTGCAGAAGAGACACAAGTGCACTGACCTGGGTGAGCTGCAGCGTTACCTTGGCTTGCAGATCACCCGGGACAGAGCCGCTCGCACCATCACACTGACGCAGTCACACATGGTGCAGCAGGTCCTTCGGCGGTTCGACTTCCAGTTCTCCACCACACAGCCCACTCCTCTTGCTGTTGACCACAGACTCACTGGCCCCTTTCCCGACGAGCCTTTTGAGTCCAGTGGTCCCTACGCAGAGCTGGTGGGCTGCCTCATGTACCCGATGACTTGTACTCGGCCGGACCTCGCCTTTCCCCTCAGCGTCCTCTCTCGCTTTGTTGCGACTGGGAGACACCGCCCTGTCCACTGGACAGCTGCTGTGAGGGTGGCGAAGTACCTGGCGACCACATCAGGCATGGGGCTTGTGCTTGGAGGGACTCAGCCAGTGGCGTTGACTGGTCACTGCGACTCTTCCTACGCTGACGACGTGGAGACTCAGCGTTCGACTCAGGGTTACTGCTTCAGTCTGGGAGCTGGTGCTGTGTCGTGGAGGTCTACACGGTCGTCGTCTGTGGCTACTTCCAGTGCAGAGGCAGAGATCTACGCTGGTGCCATGGCGGCACAGGAGCTTCGCTGGTTGACCTTCTTGCTCGCCGACCTTGGTGAGCGGCCTCGCTCTGCACCGACCTTGTACGCTGACAACAAGGCCATGATCCTCCTGTGTCGAACGCCGCGACTGGAGAGCAGAGTGAAGCATATTGACGTGAGGTACTTCCTCCTGCGAGAGCTGCAGCGACGCGGCCAGGCACGTCTGGACTTTGTGGCCTCCGAGGCCAACACTGCAGACGTCTTCACCAAGGCCCTGGCGCCTGGTGACCACCACAGGTTCTGTGTGCAGTTGGGGCTGGTAGAGTTAGGCCCTCGGTTGCTGTAGCCTTGTTGCTTGTTCTGCTTGTCGTGCTTTGTATTTATATCCTAGTAAACTCTTGAACTGGCCTTGTGGCCGCTTGCTTGCGCTCGGAATTTGTGTGGTGTCCTTGAGATCCACCCTGAGCTTGCCTTGCTTCTTGCTTTGACTGGTCTTGTGACCGTTTTGTTCACCTTGCTTGCTCTGATGCCCCTCACTTAGCCTATGGGGGTGTGTCAAATGTGCAATATCTTGATAGGCTGTAGTGAGGTGCACCGTAGAGAGTACAGTGCTTAGGTTTTCCCTAATTGTACTGTCTTGCATTCTCAATCCAACCATTCCGTTGTGCTCACTTCTTAAGACTAACTAATACACTAGCAAGCTGTAGGCAGTTAGGATATGCAATATAATTCAACAGGAGCTTCGTCCGGACGGTTTGGAAGCTACGTCCGGACTTGGGCCTCTTTCGGAAAAGGTTACACGCCCTTAGGGCGTGGAACATTTGGGCTTTTTTTTCGAACGAACGTACGGTTCGAAAAAATACCGCTCTCAATCGTATTGAAACCTACTTGAACAAAGCGTTTGACAAATGAACCATTTTCAACCGTTCAGGCGGTACGGTTCGTTTGGAAAATTTCCCAAATGTTCCACGCCCTTAGGTTGACGACTCGTTAGTCACAACCAAATTTGTTGTAGTGGAAAAACCAAATTTGTACAAGCAGTCTCAACACTAGAAGTCCGAACCCCCCTTCCTCCCCTCACCTCGCACCTTCCTCTTCCCGCAGGACCCGGCGGAGACCCAGCGGGGGACTGTCCACGTCAGCGATCGAGCAGATGTCGCGCGAGGTGAAGCTGATGGGGTGGCTGTACAAGCAGTCCAAGTCGCGTCCGTTCGGCCACCACTGGGCGCGGCGCTACTTCGTTCTGCGCGCGCAGCGCATCAGCTACTTCCGCAGCCTGCCCTGGCAGCACGAGGTGCGCGATGGAGGAGTGTGGAGGGGGGCGGGAGAGTGGGAAGGGGGATGGTATGGGGTAACGAGTTCTGAGATGTCTCAAACCTAGAGACTTCATGCTGCGCGCGCAGCGCGTCAGCTACTTCCGCAGCCTGCCGTGGCAGCACGAGGTGCGCGCGCGCTGGGGGGGAAAGGGGAGAGGGGGGGAGGGGATGGGATGGGGTAACGAGTTCTGAGTCGTCTCAAACCTAGAGACTTCGTGCTGCGCGCGCAGCGAATCAGCTACTTCCGCAGCCTGCCGTGGCAGCACGAGGTGCGCTCGCGGTGGGAAGATAGTGTTACGACTTTCGCGAGGATAGCTTCTGGGATGATACGAGCTGACCGCTCTGCACCATCCCTTGGCCCCCCTTGGGAAGACTAAGCAACACCTTCCCCAACCCAACCATTTTCCCCAAACCACTATCCCCCTCCCCATTTCCCCCTCTCCCTTCCCCCCTCCCCTTGTCCCCACCCTCTCCTCCCCCTCAACGCCCCCCTTCCCTCCCGCATCGTTGTTCCCTGCCGCGTTGCACAGATTCCGGTGAAGGAGTTTGATCTCACGCGCAGATGTCGTGTGGAGGACACAGGCCGGATTTCCACCAACACCAAGGTCACACCCGCACTGCCTGTTTCTGTGCTACACGTTTGTGTGATGCTTGCTTTTGAGGCGCCTCAAAAGTAGATTCCACCAACACCAAGGTCACACCCGTACTGCCTGTTTCTGTGCTATACGTTTGTGTGATGCTTGCTTGTGCGCTGCCTGTGGTTGCGCTGCTTATGAATTTCTGGAGCTTTGTGCCTCAATAGCTCTGACCCTTTCAGGGCTGCTCCTGACATTCCCCTGGTTTCTGCACACTCTACTGTTTCTTTTTGTCATTCGTCAGGAGCTCTACACCTTCTGTATACACCCAGAGCTTCCCAAGCCGTGTCTGGTGGGTGTACTCGCTAAGGCCACACTCTTTATCGTGTACAGCGGTGCCAATCATGCGCTGCCTCGAACGACTTTAAGCTCATTTGAGCCTTCCCGCCTTACAGCATAATGAATGGCTCCTTTTCTTTGCCTTGCTCATGGGTGACCATGTACTCTATCATCCGTTTTTGTTTTGCGTCTACTGACACTTGACACTATCCATGCATGTGCTGTTGCTTGAATGCTCTTCTGTGCCCTCCTCTGGCCCTCTTTGCCCTCCCGTTCTCCTCTTTCCCCTCCTGTACTCCTCTGCGCCCCTCCCATGCTCCAATGCGTTCGTCCCGTCCCCTGTCCTGTTACAGGTGGGAACCAAGGACCCAGAGCTAGTGGCGGTGTGGATGCAAGCCATTCGGGAGACAATAGAACATGTGAGCACGGCAGCCATGTGATATAAGTAGGTTTTGAGATGTCTCAAGGACCCAGAGCTAGTGGCGGTGTGGATGCAAGCCATTCGGGAGACAATAGAACATGTGAGCACGGCAGCCATGTGATATAAGTAGGTTTTGAGATGTCTCAAGGACCCTGAGCTAGTGGCAGTGTGGATGCAAGCCATTCGGGAGACAATAGAACATGTGAGCACGGCAGCCATGTGATATAAGTAGGTTTTTGAGATGTCTCAAGGACCCAGAGCTAGTGGCGGTGTGGATGCAAGCCATTCGGGAGACAATAGAACATGTGAGCACGGCAGCCATGTGATATAAGTAGGTTTTGAGATGTCTCAAGGACCCAGAGCTAGTGGCGGTGTGGATGCAAGCCATTCGGGAGACAATAGAACATGTGAGCACGGCAGCCATGTGATATAAGTAGGTTTTGAGATGTCTCAAGGACCCAGAGCTAGTGGCGGTGTGGATGCAAGCCATTCGGGAGACAATAGAACATGTGAGCACGGCAGCCATGTGATATAAGTAGGTTTTGAGATGTCTCAAGGACCCTGAGCTAGTGGCAGCGTGGATGCAAGCCATTCGGGAGACAATAGAACATGTGAGCACACAGCAGACAATAGAACGAGTCATGTGAGCACAGCAATAGATGAACTGGTGGTGCATATTACAGCAACGATCAGGATGCGTCTGACTGCCTCGCTGCACCAGCACAAGTGGCCTGCTAGACAGAGAAACGTCCTTCGTCTGCACCTCAACGCCCACCAACCCCCTCCTTTCCCCTCCCCTGATTTCCTTCTCCCCCCTGGCCCCTCTGTCCCCTTCCTCCTCTCCCCCTTGCCCCTTCTCCCCCTGTCCCCTCTCCCGCCTTCCCCCTCTCCCCCCTTTCCCGTCTCCTCCCTAACCCCATGGCAGAACGTGGCGCCAACTATCCGAATGCCTCTGACCCGTCCCACCAGCACCAACAGCCTGTCGGACGAGGAGGAGGGGGAAACGCCACCACACCCCAACATGTCCTCGTGCGTTTCCTCTCCCACCAGCACCCCACCATGTCCTCATGTGTTCACTCTAGTACGTGTACTCTAGTCTTTGCCGAGCACCCCTGATTTGTTCAAGGCACAACACTTGATTCTTGGCCTCACGGTCCTCACTATTCGTGCCAACCAGTTACTCGTCTTCCCCCCTTCCAGCTGCCGTGACTCCATGGACAGCAGTGAGCCGTTTGAAGGGGATGATGAGATGGCGGGAGACAACCCGAAGGTCCGTTCCATTCTCCTCTATTCCATTCTCGCTATTCCATCCCTTTCCATTCATTCCCCTCCCTCCCATCGTTCCGTACCCACACCAGCTGCCGCGATTCCATGGACAGCAGTGAGCCGTTCGATGGGGACGAGATGGGGGGAGACGACCTGCCAACACCGCAGCGAGTGCTGCTCGACAGACGAGGCCCCATTGGCTTCGGTAGGTGCGCTTATAAGAGTAGCTTCATGTGAGGCCACAGATAAAGACTTGTCAGGCTCCATTGGCTTCCCCGTGGCTTTCAACACACTGTGCTACAGTGCGCTTTAGTGCATGCCTTCTCCTGCCTCACATTTTCCCCTGAACCCTCCTGCTTCCCCCCAGGCCCCCCCATGGAGCTGGGCGGCATGCTCGAGGCCATGGTGGCGATGCGGAGTGCATCAACAGCATCAGGGATCGCATCCGACGGCTCCTGGCGCCTCATCAAGCTATCCAACGGTGGGTGATGGCCTGTGCATCCGGTGGCAGGGGGCAGGCGGGTATGTGTGGCCGCAGCCAGTCACTGGTGAGTAAAGCATTGCACACTGCACATGCCTTTTGAGTCGACTCAAAATTCACCCAGTCACTGGTGAATGAAGCATTGCACACTGCACTTGCCTCATGCGATCGTACCATTTCAACATCTATTCCCTATGGCTGGCCGCCCCTTCTTCCACAGGGCTGCGTTTCTTTGAGGAGTTGAACGAGGAGCGCGGGCAGGCGGGCATGTGTGGCAGCCTGCCGTGTCTGAGTGCTGTGGGAACAGTGGACGCCCCTAGTGATGCCGTTTTTCGACTCGTCCTCGACCTCTCCTCCTCTCGCAACGAGTATGCATCTGGTTTCCTCCTGGTTTCTCTTTTATCGCACAGCTATTTCTAATTCACATGCTGCTGCCACGTTGCTTGATCTGATCTGTCCACTCCCCTCTCTCCCTTCCGCTCCCAACACTTCCCCATCGTAGATGGGACGTGGCCTGCGGCAGAGCCCGCATGGTCGAAGCACAGGACGGCCACTCGGACTGCACTCACTTCCGCTTCCGCCCCTTGCCATTCAACCCAACCTAGTCCTCACATCCCCTCTGTCTCTCCCGTCCCATTTCTGTGCTTCCCTGTGACCAGGTGGGACATGGCGTATGGTGGAGCCCGAATGGTAGAAGCTCAAGACGGCCACACAGACTGCATCCACTACCGCTTCCGCCCTCTGCCCCTTGCCCTGAGCTGATCCTTCCTCTTTTGCTTCTTCCTGCACCTGCTTCCTCACCAGATGGGACGTGGCATACGGAGGAGCACGAATGGTGGAGGCACAAGACGGTCACACGGACTGCATCCACTACCGCTTCTGCCCACTACCAGTCATCCCTAGACCTAGCCTTCCCATCCACTCCTTCTGTCCCTCCCCCTTCCTGTGCTTCTCTGTTGTCAGGTGGGACGTGGCATACGGGGGTGCACGAATGGTAGAAGCTCAAGACGGTCACACGGACTGCATCCACTACCGCTTCTGCCCACTACCAGTCATCCCTAGACCTAGCCTTCCCATCCACTCCTTCTGTCCCTCCCCCTTCCTGTGCTTCCCTGTTGTCAGGTGGGAAGTGGCATACGGGGGTGCACGAATGGTAGAAGCTCAAGACGGTCACACGGACTGCATCCACTACCGCTTCCGACCGCTCCCAGTCGGCTTCGGCCCCTTCACCCTCACAGCGCGCGACGTGTGCCTGCGGCGCTACTGGCAGCGCACAGGCGACGGCTGCTACGTGGTCCTTTACCAATCTATGGAGCACCCCCTATGCCCCCCTGTCATGGGCTGTGTGCGCGCCAATCTCACTTACGGAGGGTTTATCATCGCCCCAGCAGGGCCGTCGGCGATCGGACGGTCGGTAGTGATGCATGTGCTGCAGATGGATGCAAAGGGGTTGCTGCCGATGTGCTCCGGTGTTGCGACCGAAGTGCATTTCTACCTGCTGTCCAGAGTTGCGGGCATTCGGGAGTTTTTCGCGCAGACGAGGGGGGATTCGCTGGCTGCGCTGCTGAGACTGCGGGACACGCAACAGGCTACAGCTGCTGCTACAGCTGCGGCTGTAGCGGCTGCGGAAGGGAGGGAGCTTGGAGGGGGTGGGAGGAAGGGGAGCAGGCGGGACCGGGAAGACGGGCGGATTGGGCCGATACCAGAAGGGGGAGGGGAGGAGTTTGAGGAGGTGGAGAGGGGTGGACGGGAGAGGAGGAGAGGCAGCAGTGGGGACTTGATGGGTGGGGAGTTCAGCGGTAGTGACGCCGGCAGCACTGTTTCAGAGCCCTTACCCGGCACAAGCAGCTTCTTTGGAGCAAGAGGAGCACCAGGAGGAGCAGCAGCAGGAGACGCAGCAGCGGCTGCTAAGGCCTTGCTGTCTGAAACCCTCCCTGTCGCCTCTCCTAGGTTCTGGCAGCTAGGTTCCCGACCCTCCACCGGGTCTCGACTGGCTGGTTCGGCAAGGGCGGCAGGTTCGGTAGACCCTTGGGCATGGGCGTACAAGACTGGGAACCTGGCCCGGGGGTCGCCGATGGGGGGGATCAACTGCTGGAGTGAAGCAGAGGTTCGGAACTTTACAGTGCGGTCGAAAAGCTATTTGAGGGATAAGATGAAGCAGAGTGCGGGGCAGCCAGGGATGGCGCTGGTGGCTGTGGATTGGTTGAAGCGCGTGGAGAGGATCGACCATGTGGTGGAGCTCAAGAGGACTCCTGTGCATGTGAGTTCTGTGGACTCCTTTGGGTGTGAGTGTTCGGACCTCCATGCTTGTGGTGTAGGGGGTGGGAATAGATCAGCAATGGTGGCTGTGGATTGGCTGAAGCGAGTGGAGAGGATTGACCATGTGGTTGAACTGAAGAGGACCCCCGTGCATGTGAGTAAGATTACGCACTTTAGCGTCTATGGGTGGGAATAGATCAGCAATGGTGGCTGTGGATTGGCTGAAGCGTGTGGAGAGGATCGACCATGTGGTGGAGCTGAAAAGGACCCCTGTGCATGTGAGTGTGCTGACCCCCGTGTATGTGAGTAAGATTTCGCATTTGGCGCCTATGGTGGTTCAGGGGTGGAATGGGCCGTTGTTGGTGGCTGTGGATTGGCAGAAGAGGGTGGAGAGGATCGACCATGTGGTTGAGCTCAAACGGACCCCCGTGCATGTGAGTGATTGGATTCCATGCTTGTGTTAGAACAGACCAGCAGTGGTGGCTGTGGATTGGCTGAAGCGCGTGGAGTGGAATGATCATGTGGTGGAGCTCAAGAGGACCCCTGTGCATGTGAGTGTGCTGACTCCCGTGCATGTGAGTGTGCTGACTCCCGTGCATGTGAGTGTGCTGACTCCCGTGCATGTGAGTGTGCTTTTTCTGTTGCGTCTGGTAGGATCCCTTCCATTCTAGAAACAGCCCTATTTCCCCGTGTTTCCCCCATCTCTTCCCATCTTCCCACTCAACCCTATCTTCTTCTGTGCCTTGTCATCAGGGCACTCATGAGATCATGGTTATCAGATTCACCCCATGCGCCCCTGCCTCCTCTCGTGTGCCCAATGCACCTCCATAGCGCTCCTTGCCCGTTGCCCCTCACGCCCATCCCCCCCCACCCCTTCCATCAGGGCATGCGCGAGATGATGGCAAGGAGTGACGCCTCATGCGGCCCTGCCTCCCCTCATGTGCCCAATGCACCTTCCTAATGCCTATTGCCCCATCGGCCTTCATGCCCATCCCCCCCCACCCCTTCCATCAGGGCATGCGCGAGATGATGGCCAGCAGTGACGCCTCGTCGCGGCCATACTTCTTCATTGTGAATATGCAGGTGCGTGGGGGGGGGTGGGGCCGTGGGGGAGGTGGGGCACATGGGGTCAGTCAGTGGTTCAGTAAGTTGCTGCGATGAGTGGAAGATGTGTTTAAGTTGGAGAGGTGAGTAGGTGGGGCAGGTAGGGGAGGTTCTGTTTAGTGCTGGCGGATGCTGCTTAGTGCTAGTTAGTGCTGGCGGATGCTGCTTAGTGTTCTTAAGTAGCGCCATAGTTCCAGCTTTCTCGCTTGTCCTTGATCCTATGCTTTCTTAAACTATCAACCGCAACTGCAAACATCCCTCTCTTTCTCCCACACCACCAGGTGCCAGCAGCGCAGCAGTACAGCATGGTGTTCTACTGGGCCATGGAGGAGCGTTGTGCAGGCAACACTTACATGCCCACTCACCTGTCTTTATCCTATGCTCCTCACACCACCAGGTGCCAGCAGCGCAGCAGTACAGCATGGTGTTCTACTGGGCCATGGATGAACCGCCAACAGATTCGTCCATACTGGGGCAGTTCATCAACGGGGATGACATCTTCCGCAACACACGCTTCAAGCTCATTCCCCGCATCCACCAGGTGCGTCTGTGTGCTCTGTGTGTGCCCGTGTGTTTATCTGCTTTGATTGTGCCCTCACCCTCTCATGGCTGTGGCAGGGCGCATGGGTGGTGAAGCGGAGTGTGGGGACGAGCCGCTCATCATTGCTGGTGCTCTCACCGTGCAGTACTTCAAAGGACCCGACTACTTTGAGGTACAGTGGTGTGCTCGTTCTTTTAAAATGGTTATTGTGCAGTACTACAAAGGACCCTATTTTTTTATGTACAGTGGTGTGCACATCTCTGCTGCTACACTCTGTCTCGCATGTGCATTGTTTGAGAAAATGGTGTATTATTCTGTTAGCAATCTGTCCACGATCTCCTGATGACACCACTGGAAAACAGGTGGATGTGGATATTGGGTCATCAGCTGTGGCCAATGGGGTGGTGAGGTTCGTGCTTGGATACGTCCGTACACTCATCATTGACATGGCGTTCTTGATCCAGGTATTGTATTGGCATTCAATGATGCCTCTTCTTTCTTTGTGCGTTATTGATCCACTGTTTGTGTTGTGGTGGTTTGTAATAACTTTCTTATGATGTGCGCTATTTCTGTTACTCGCAGGGAAACACAGACGAGGAGCTCCCGGAGAAGCTTCTAGGAACCATTCGCATTTCGCATCTAGAGCCAAACGCAGCGTTAGACATGGACCTTGACAATCCAGAGCCACCCCCTCATCCCGTCTCTTCCCATGAAGATCCTAAATCCTGATTGAATGGTGTTTTTCTGGCATATAATTTGCTTTTCCATTCAATCAATCTTACCGTCAGTTTTTCCATCCCGTTTAGAAATTCTTTCGTGGTACCAAGGCGTACAGGCAGGGAAGTTCAGGTGTTTCATGGCTGCATTTTACTAATTTGACAGGAATAATATATATAGCATCGGATATAACATATACATGGAGGGAAACGTTTACGGTACAGTAGTCGGTTCTGATTTCGTGGTTTCCTTTGACAGTGGAGGGAAATGTTTTAATAGACAAATCATTGCACAGTGAAGGCCGTTACAATCAGATACAGACAGAACTACGGATCGCCCACCTTTGTCATCTTCGAAGCCCCGAACAGTCGCTTATCAAGTAACTGTATTTTTTTTAGCTTTGGGTGTTCTGGTTCCTCCACGTGTAGGCCAATCATTGTACAGATTCTCAGACCAGATCCACTCGTAGACCACGTCAGCACCACATTTTGGTAGCCCAAGTGCACCTTGCAGTGCGCGACACGATTCCCAGTCAACACGGGTGTTTTGCACTCGGTTCGGTTGCTTTCATGATTCATCTCATCCAATAAAGCCTCCCCGCCCTGGCGTTCACCATTGGTTCCCTGGCGCCCCGGAACTTCAAGGGACATGCCATGTCATGTTTCCACACGCACATCAGCCAATAGCATAACTGATTTCTTGTTCCCGCCAACCCACTCATGGTCATAGTGCCCCGTGCCACCGAGTCAAGCACAATATTCCAAGGCGTGTTTCAAACAGAAATTCTCGGCACAATTTGTTTTGTGGACACATTTAATTGTTCTTGAAATTGGGACAGTGTAGGGTAAAGGTGGTAAAATAAATTGCGGGGTTTTTCTTTATTTCACAGCAGTAGTTGCCATTCTCGGTTTCATGAATACGCCCCTGATGGTCTGACGCGGACACGTATGCCGCAACAGAACCTGTAAAGAAATTGCGCAGGAGATTAAAGTCGAGCAGCAGTGAAAACCGCGTGAGTGAATTTGGTAGGAAATGTGCAAGGGCCATGCACCTTTGGCTGTGACCGGCGTGGCGCCCTGTGTCGAGGATCATAGAGCGGGTCAAACTACAGATTTCGAGCCTACTATGATCCCCACACAATGATGACGTTACATTTCGCTGCGAGTCCAACTGCGAATAGGGTTTCCGTCGGATCGCCGCGGAAGCGCGAGGTCTGGCGAAGACTCGGTGGAGGTAGATCCTCGAGTATAAATTCTCTTCCGGAAACTCAGTGCATATTCTTTCTTTACAATCAAAGAACTGCATTATCGCTGGCAATGCAATGCGTGAACGGTATGTCCCGCAGCAGCAGCAGCAGCAGCAGCAGTCGCTTTCCCCGGCGCAATTTTTGAGAGGGGCGCCTTCGCAGTCCCAACAATCAGTCAATGCAGTCAACGCGCAGGTCAACGCCTTCAGCGCGTCGATCGACACCTTCAATACAGCCAATGCGGCCACAGTAGGGCTAGGAAACGTCACCTCCGGCTCCCTCGGGATGCCTTACGGTCAGTTCCGCGACATCCAGCGATTATGGGAGTCGCAGGGGTCGCATCGTGCTGTCGCACAAGGAAGCGCTGTCGCACAACAAGGAAGCACTATCGCACAAGATAGATCTTTCGCACAGCACGAGAGCGGAACAAACAACAACCCCCAAGGCCAAGCTACAGGGTCCTTTGGCGGGTTTTTTTCCGCTGATGGTCCTATTTCCCCGTCTGGAAGCATGGTGGGCGGAAGGAGCGGCGGAATGGCGAGGGGGAGCAGTTTTGGCGAAGGGATTGGCGGAAGGCGGGGGGGATTCGCCACGCCCGCGCTGCCTGGCGGAGTTATTGGTCCTCCAGGCCTGGGGGGCGGAAGAATCATGGGGGTTGCAGCAGCAGGGGGAGGCGGAGCGTTAGGATATACCGCGGACAGCGCAACCATAGGCGCGGGGATGGCGGAGGGGAGGCTGGAAAGCTTGCTGGCGGAGGCGCTACTTGGGGGAGGGGCTTTCCAGGCTCTAACGGGGGGAGGTTCTTTCCAGGCGCTAGCCGGGGGAGGTGCTTTTCAGAGGCCTACAGCTCCCCAGGTGTCACCTGTAGTAGGCAGGGAGGTGGGAACTGGTGCAGGTGGTAACCAGGCGTTACTTGAGCTGATGAGAATGTCAGGGCTCGCTAGTAGCCTCCCTCTCAACCGTACTGTATCGAGCAGCACCGGGAGCGGATACCACTCAGCTAGCCTACCAACCAGCTTTGACCTGAATTACGCTGGTACAAGGAATCAGCCGCTGCAGTCTTTCTACGGGCAGCCCGGGCAGATGCCAACGAACTCCGAGCGGGGGAACCAAGATCGCGGGCAGCAAGCTATGACTCGAAGCTGGGGAGGGGCTAGGGGGTTGGGTTTAGAAGGAGTGACGGCAGGTGAGGGGTTGGAGTTAACGGCAGGTGAGGGGCTGGGACTGACGGCGGGCGAGGGGTTAGGGGTTCTGGCGGGCTGTCACGATCTCTCTGCAGTTCTGGCTGCTGCTGCCGCCGCCGCCGCTGCGAGCAGCGCACATGGCGGCGCTAGCAGCCCATATGGCGGCGCTAGCAGCGCACATGGCGGCTTCCCCAGGTCTGGGCTGGGAGGGGGGAGCACAGGGGGAGGGTACGTGAGCGGAGGTGTCGTGGGCGGGGGGTGTGTGAGCGTAAGGGGCGGTGGGGAAGGAGGCGCGGGGATGGCGGAAGGGGAGAGCGATGGGGATGGGTCGGGGGAGGAGGAGGAGGGCGGAGATGGCGCCCCTCGCGCCAGCACCAACGCCAAAGGCCAGTGGACGCCGGTACGTGCATGCATTGATTTTTTAGTCGACTCTAAACTCGCGCCCTGCAGCACACTCAAGGGGCGCGCGGGGAAGCAGTGCCGCGCCTCCTCTCTTTCTCTCCCCCCCCCCCCCCCCCCCCCCCCCCCCCCCACCTCCCATCTTCCCATCCTCCTCCCTTCTCCTCCTCCCATCACACCCCCCTCTTTCTATTCGCCTCAGATGTTTCCACCCACCTCCCTCCTCCCTCCCCTTTCTCCCCCCTTTCCCCCAAGAGCAGGAGGACGTGATATTGAGGCGGCTGGTGGAAAGGGGAGGGCCGCAGTGCTGCCCTTCTTGCTTGCTATTGCAGTTCACATAAAAAAATGCTTCGTCCCCTCTCACCACCCACCTCTCCCCCATGAGCAGGAGGAGGACGAGATTCTGAGGCGGCTGGTGGAGAGGAGAGGGGAGGGGTGCTGCCCTTCGTGCCTGCTACTGCATCTAACATGAAAGGTTGCTTTCTCTCCCTCTCACCACCCACCTCCCCTCTCCCTCTCACCACCCACCTCTCCCCCAAGAGCAGGAGGAGGACGAGATTCTGAGGCGGCTGGTGGAGATGGGCGGGGGCGCAGCTCACTTGAAAATATCATCTTCTCTCTTCCCCTCTCCCCACCCGTCTCCCCTCTTGCCTCAACAGGAGGAGGACGAGATTCTGCGGCGGCTGGTGGAGAGGGGAGGGGCGCGGCGGTGGTCCACCATTGCAGCGCACCTCAAGGGGCGCGCGGGGAAGCAGTGCCGCGAGCGCTGGCACAACCACCTCAAGCTGGGGATCAAGAAGGACGCGTGGACGGAGGAGGAGGAGGAGACGCTGATAGAGGCGCACAAGCGCGTGGGGAACAAGTGGGCGGAGATTGCAAAGCTGCTGCCTGGGCGGACGGATAACAATGTGAAGAATCACTGGAATTCGACTGTGAGGCGGAAGGAGGACGTGGGGCGGACAGGGGGGAAGGTCGGGGGAAAGCCCACGCTGCTGCTGAGGTATATACAGTCGTTGAAAGGGGGGAAGGATGGGGGCGGGGGGAAAAAGGGGAAGGGTGAGGGGGGGAAGGATGGGGGGCGGGGGAAGGAGGCAGCAGGGAAGGAGGAAGAGGGAGGGGAGGAGAAGGGTGGAGGGGGGGAGGAAGGAGAGGAGGGTGGGAGAGATGGGGGAAGTGAAGGAGGGAAAGAGAAAGGAGGTGGGAGAGAGGGAGGAGGAAAGGGAGAGGAAAGGGAGGGAGAGAAGGAAGAGAATGGGAGTTTAAAGAACGGGGAGGATGAGCGGGGGAGAGATAAGGGAATGCAAGAGGTGAGGGAAGGGAGGTATGGGAGGGCAGATGGTGAGGATGGGGATGGGGATGGGGGTAGGGATGGGGATGGTGTTAGGGATGCAGGTAAGAGGGAGAAAGAAGAGGATGGTTCAGTTTTGAGAGGAAGGGAAGAGGATGCTTCGGGGGTTGACCATTCGGGAATAAAAACAGAAGAGACACGGGTAGGCAAGGAGAAAGGAGAAGAGAAACGGGTAGGGGAGGAGGGGGGAGGAGAGGCACGGATAAGCGAGGAGAGGAGAAACGATCAACGAGCAGGAGAGGAGAAGACGGTAGAGATGAGAGATGGGGAGAAGGAAAGGAAGGAAGCGATGGGGTTGGGAGGAGGGTTGGGAGGAGGGTTGGGAGGAGGGTTGGGAGGAGGGTTGGGAGAAGACGGAAGCGCTGTGGGTGCAGCAACAGCACAGGGGGGCGAGAAACGCATAGGGGCGAGCAGTGAAGCCGTGAAGAGGGGTTCTGAGCTTGAGGGGAGGGAGGGGCCGAGACAGTCCCATGTGAACGCAGAAGAGCGGCGGTGTGAAGTAATGGCAGAGGAGCAGATTCGTATGGTAGAAGGGGAGGGGCCTGATAACAGGCAGACACAGGCGGGGGAGGGGGAAGAGGAGGGGAAGGAGACTCCTGAGTCGCCTCACCAGGCAAGGGTAGGGGAGGAGGAGGAGAAGGAGGAGAGGAAGCAGAAGGCGGAGAAGGAGACGAAAGAGATGAAGGAGAAGAGGAAGATGGAAGGAGGAAGAAGATCCGAGGGTGGGGACAGAGCAGCAGAGGGTACCGGCGATGCAGTCTCCATGGATATTGATGTGAGTGAGAACAGGGGGGGTGAGGGGAGGGGGGAAAGGGGGAAAAGAAAGGGGAGAGAGGGGGGAGAGGGGGGGGGGGGGTGGTGGGGGTGAATGATTGGGCAATTAACATACTTGACAATAAAATACAGCTCATCCTCCCTGCACTTCCACGCATTACCCTTTACCTGGAACTGTCACCCTGCTGACTTCTTCTGTCCCCTCTCGTACCCTCCCAATCCCTCCCTCTCCCCATCAGACCCACCACGTCACATCCCCCAGCAGCAGCAGCCTATCCATCCGGGGCTCGTCAGCAGCAGGGAAGGCAGCAACACCAGCAACAGGAAGGGCAGCTGCGCAAGCAGGACGAGCAGCAGCGCAAGCAACACAAGAAGAAACCACCACTGCCGCAGCTGCAGCATCTTCTTCCTCTCGCTCTCTTTCCTCAAGCCATCCGCGTTCTGAGACGTCTCGACGCCCAGCTCTACCAGAAACGGCAGCAGCAGCAGCAGCATCGGCCTTACGCTCGCGTTCCTTCAGCAATGCGCGCCTCTCCTCCCCCCATGTCCCTTTTGAGTCGGCTCAAAATGCAGAGACTGCTGCTGCAGCAGCATCATCCTTACGCTCACAGTCTTTCAGCAATACGCGCCTCCCCTCCTATGTCCCTTCTGAGTCGACTCAAAACGCAGAAACTGCCGCAGCAGCGGCGTCCTTACGCTCGCATTCTTTCAGCAACACGCGCCTCCCCTCCCAAGGGACGTCTGAGTCGACTCAAAATGCAGAAACTGCCGCAGCAGCGTCCTTACGCTCACGTTCCTTCGGCAATGCACACCTCTCCTCCTCCCATGTCCCCAGTTTTGACGCGGCCCAAAACTCCTTACCCTCGCGCTCCCTTGGCAATGCACACCTCTCCTCCTCCCATGTCCCCAGTTTTGACGCGCCCCAAAACTCCTTACCCTCGCGCTCCCTTGGCAATGCCCACCTCCCCTCCTCTCGTGTCTCTCTCAAATCCACTTCCCTCCCGCCCTCCTGGCCCCCCACCCGCTCGCTCCCAAATGCTCCCACTGCCAACACCACTGCCTCCGCTGCTGCTGCTGCCGCCACCGCTGCTGCTGCTGTTGCTGCTGCCACTGCAGCTGCTGCTTCAAGCGAAGCTGCTGCTGGTGGGGCTACTAGTGTAACAACTGGGGCTGCACCTGCCATTGCTCCCACAGGGGAGAGGCACAGGGAAACAAACCCACGGCAATTCCAAGGCCCCAGTGTGGCTGACTCAAGGAGACAGCCCTCAGGTGCAGGGGAGGTAGTGATGATGGGACAGGAACATACAGCTCAAGGGTTTGTAGAGCAGACGTGTATGGGGCAACAATTGGTGGGACAGCAGACGGGTGTGGGGCAGTCACTGGTGGCACAGACGAGTGTGGGCGATCAGAGGGATCTAGCGAGGGCTATGCTTCAACTGGACGCTCTCTCCTCTGCTGGCCTGCTCATGGGCCTCCCTGCTGCTCTTGCTGCTCCCTCTGCTGCTGCTGCTGCTGCTGCTGCTGCTGCTGTTTCTACTTCTGCTGCTGCTCCTTGCTCGTCTGCGCCCACTCGTGCCCCTCCTGCGTCCCCCTCCACCGTCTCCTCCCCCCGCTCCACCCCCTCCTCTCGGCCCCCATTCCCTCCCTTTCCTGCCCCAGCACCGCTGTCCACCGCATTCCCCCGCTCTTTCTCCACCCCTCAAGGCCGAATCCCTTCTTTCTCCCCCTCTTTGTCATCTCTCACTGATTCTCTCCCAAATAACCCTCTCCAGCATATCAACCCCTTCCCGCACAACCCTTCCCTTCCTCTCACCACCTCCGCTTCCTTATCTGTTCCCTCTACCTCTTCTGCTGCACCCACCAATCACCCCCTCCCTTGCCTCTCTCGCTTCGCCACAGTGTCAGCTTCCGACCAATCAGCAGCCGGCGGCCTGACCAGCCGGGCAGCCGAAATTGCGAGCGGGGTGCAAAATATTTTCGACGCTCTCATGCGTTCAGACATCCTCCCTGCCCCCTCCGTTCCATCCTTCCCATCTCAACCGTCCATTCCTGAAGCTACACGAAGATCAGCACCATTCACACAGCATCCACATGCCTCCCTCCCATCCTCATATCACCCTACCCCGAGACCACCTCCCCTCTCCGCCTCCCTCCCGCTTCCCCTCACATCCTCTTCCCCAGCTCCTTGGGCTGGGGAAAGGAACCCAAGAACTGCAGGAGGGGAGGTAAGCGCGTCTAGTGTGGCAACCACAAGGCGTTTAGAGGGTGGTGGGTTTTGGATTGGCACCAGCGGTGCTAGTAGCGCTGCTGGTGCTGGTGACACTGCTGCTACTGCTGCTGCTGCTGCTGCTGCTGCTGCTGCTGCTGCTGCTGCTGCTGCTGCTGCTGCTGCTACTCGTGCTGCTGCCTCTGGCATTGCTGGCAGTGCACAAGTTATTGGGAGAGGGGGTGCCTTGATCCTTAATCCACACCTCCACCATTCTTCTGCTCCTCCTTTTCCTCTTGCAACGGCCCCTGCTACTGCTGCTGCTGCTCCTGTTGGTACTGTTGCACTTGCTGCTACTACTGCTGCTGATGTTGATGGCGGTGGTGGTGGTGGTGGTGCTGCTGCTGCTGCTGCTGCTGCTAGTTCTCGAGCAACAGAAAGAGTCAACTGTGATACGCTGCCCAACCCATCTCAGCTGCTGCCCGATTTTTCTCAGCTGCCCGATTTCTCTCAACTGCCAAAATTCCTGACGCAGGAGCAACTGGCACTACTGAAACAGGTATGTACCATAACCAAGCCACTCCCTTTGCACCGTCACCCACTCCCTCTGCTCCATCACCAACCCCTCTGCACCGTCACCACGCCCTCTGCACCATTCTTGCATTGGCCTCCCCTCAATCTCGACCCCTTTCCCCTTCCGTCCCCTTATTCCCCAACCCTCCCCCACGCCCCTTGCTGCTTATCTCACTCTGTCCTTTCACCAGCTCGTAACCTTTCCTTCAATCGTGTCCCTCTGTCGACTCATCCCCATCCCCATCCCTATTCCCATTGCCATTCCATCTCTCGTGCCAACTCTGATCTCCTCCACCGCCTTCCCTACCCTGCTCGCAGTGGTTGGAGGGAAGCGGGCAAGGCATGCAGAGCCAGGTGGGTGTGGAGGCGACTGCTGGTGCGCCTGGTGGCTTGGGGGACGCGTTCGGATCCACTCAACAATCAGCCCACGGCCCTGCAGCTTCAATTGCAGCCGTTTCTGCAACCATGTCCGCTCCTGTGCCTGCTCGTGCACTTGTGGAGGCGACTGCTGGCGCACCTGGTGGCTTGGGGGACGCGTTTGGATCAAGTCAACAGTCAGCCCAGAGCCCTGTAGTCGCCACTGCGGCTGTGGCAGCACCTGTGGCAGCACCTGTGGCAGCACCTGTGGCAGCACCTGTGGCAGCACCTGTGGCAGCACCTGTGGCGGCACCTGTGGCAGCACCTGTGGCAGCACCTGTGGCAGCACCTGCGGCAGCGCCTGTGGCAGCACCTGTAGCATCACCTGTGGCGGCACCTGTAGCAGCACCTGTAGCAGCACCTGTGGCAGCACCTATGGTAGCAGAAACTGGAGAGTCACGGGACTGTTCCCAGGGCCCTCAAGGTACAAGAGGGAAGGACGACAAGGGCTTTCGGGTTCCCCAAGACCGGCCGGCGATGACCTTTGAGTCAACTCGAAAGTCAACTGGAGAGTCAGGGGACTGTTCCCAGGGCCCTCAAGGTGCAAGAGAAAAGGGCGACGTGGGCTTTTGGGTTCCCCAAGACCGGCCGTCGATTTCTGGCCGAAAGACAAGAGCTGAGGCAGCCACTGACAAAGCCCATGCTCTTCCTCCCGCTGACAGGGAAGCTCAGTCTGCTGGAAGGGGCGAAGAAACTTCCAAGGCGACTCAAAAGTCAAGAGCTCAGGCACCCACTGACAAAGCCCGTGCCATTCCCTTTGTTGACAGGGGAGCGCGGTTTGGTGGAAGGTGCGAGGAAGGAGAAGAAATGGTTGGAGGGAGGGTGGGGGTTTTGGTTGTGGGAGGCCGCAAGAATGAGAGGCAGGGGGAGGAATGTGTTGCTGCTGATGGTGAGGTTCAAAGGACGGAAGAGTTTCAAAGGGAGAAAGCGGTTCAAAGAGAGAGAGAGACTCAAAGGGAAGACGATGTGCAGGCCAGTGAGGTACAGGAAACAGTTCAGAAGAGCCGTCACCAACCACAACAAGAGCAGAAGCAGGCACGGCAGCACCATTATCAGCAGCAGGAGCAGCGGCAGGAGAACCGACAGCAACAGAGTCAGCAGCAGGAGCACCAGCAGCAGGGGCAACAGGAGGAGCAAGGGGAATCAGCAGCAACAGGAATGGATGTTGACGGTGCAGTCAGGGAGGGTGGGCACGGAGGGGGCGAGGAGCAAAAGACGACTTTTGAGGCGCCTCAAAAGCAAGGAGTGGGGGAGCAAGGAAGGGGCAAGGAGGGGGGTGGTAGGGAAGACGGTGGGGCCAGGCAGGGGGATAGGAACCCTGTTGTTCGCCGAAGCTGCAGTGATGGTGGTGGCAGGCTTGGTTCGGAAACTGGTTTGGATAGGCGGTCCCCTCGCCCGGAGCAGCTGCAGGTGGTTCAGCGGTGGAATACTGGGAGGCTCGGAAGCTGGTCGGAAAGGAGCAGCTTGAGCAGTAGTCAATCTGGACCGTTGATCTCGAAGAAGCGGCCGATCACAAGCGTTGACCCAAGCACCCCTAGTCCCAGCCCACAGCATCAAAGGGAGCAGAGCCAGCAGAGCCAGCAGAGTCAGCAGCCACCACAACAGCAGCAGCTGCCACAGCTGCCGCCGAAGCAGGAAGAAGCCCCACAAAAGGACAACCAAGACCGCCCGCCGCCACGGCCCATGCGCACCCGTCCCATGCTCAAGCGAAGCATGGCGGGTCCCCTACCAGGCGCGCCTATAGCAGTCATAGACGGCACCATCCAGCTGGTCGGCGATCTCTCCCTCCTCGGCGGTGGCGGCTCCTTCCCCCCTCCTCCCTCCGCCCACTCCTCCCCTCACCCCCTCTCCACGTCCGCTCCCTTCCCCACACGAGGCAACACCGGCCCCCTCTCTTCGAATCCCCTTGTTCTCTCTGTGTCTCCACACCCCAGCCCGTCTCCTGGAGTGGCGGCGCGGCCTTGGGGGATGAAATCACCTCTGCCAGGTGAATCGCAGAAAAAAGATGCGGTACCGTCTCCGTCTCCCCGTTCTGCTGCTGCCCGGCCTTGGGGTATGAAGTCGCCACTACCAGGTGAGCCACAGAAAATGGCGCCAGTGTTTAAAGCACCTCAGGAGCCTCAACCAGCAGCGCTTCCATCAGTGGCTGAAGCACAGAAAACGAGTGCAGGTCTGGTCGGGCCAGGCGTAGCAGGCATGGACAGCCCCGCAGCGGAAGCAGCAGCAGCGGCAGCTTCTGCAGCCGCGCCTGCTTTGCGTGTGGATCGGCCGAGACTCGATGGCACGGTGGAAGGTGGTGGCGCAGTGCTGGGAGCAAGTGAAGCAGCATCGTCTGCTGCTTCTTATGGAGAGCCAGGTGTAGCAGCAGTGGCAGCACCAGAACTGGGAACAGCAGCAGCAGCAGCAGCGCCAGCAGGAGCCGCGCCAGCAGCAATAGATTCACCTGTATACCAGGCCGGCGCAGCCAACCCAGCCAGTTTTGAGACGTCTCAAAAGTCGCCAGCAGCAATAGATTCACCTGTATACCAGGCCGGCGCAGCCAACCCAGCCAGTCCTGCTAAGCGAATTCTGAAACACAGCCAGTCAGCCCGGCTCCCTCCTCCGGACCGCCCGCGCTTCTCCCCTGCCCTCCGAAGCTCCAGCTTCGGGAGCCGAGGCTCGGCGTCAGGCTCGGGACAGTTTGCGGCTGGTTCGACCGAAGGTGAAGCAGCCTCAGGTATGGAGGATATGGTGTTTGAGAGGAGGGACGTGGAGTCTCAGTTGAATCCTTTGGAGGGGTCGAGTGGGGGACAGGGAATAAATACTGTGTGGTCGGGGAAGTTGGTCCAGGAGTGGAGTGGAAGACGAGGGGGGCTGCATCTTGCCAGCGTGACTGAAGGCATTGTGAGTCAAGCCGATGTGAGAGAGAGAGACACTACTGGCAGTGAGTTGAGAGATGGTGGGAAGAGAGATAGTGGGGCTGCTGCGGTGTGTAGAGAGGAGGATGCTGGTGCTGCGACTTCTGAGTCGACTCCACAAGCAGGAGGCAGCATGGGATTGAATGGTGCTGCGACTGATGCTGCCACTCGTGCTGCACACACTGCATCCCTTAGGGAGGACGAGCTGATGGGTGGGCAGGGGCAATGGCAGGAGTACGAGCAGCATCACGGGTATGGGCAGCAGGATAACAATCATACTGATCTGCAGCAGCAGCATCAGCAGCAGCAGCAGCAGCAGCAGCAGCAGCAGCAGCAGCAGCAGCAGCAGTTGGGGGAGCAGCAGGGAGAAAATAAAGAGGAGGAGGAGGAAAGGGAGGAACATGAGGAGGAGGAGGAGAAGGAAGAACACGATGGAGAGTGGGAGGAGGGACATGAGGAGGACGGGGAGGAGGAGGAGGTGCAAGAGCACGAGGAGGTGTATGAGTACATGGGTGTGCGCTCAAGCCTCACCATCACCCGCAGCAGCAGCAGCACCATTCCCACCCACCCCTCCTCCATACCCAGCCACCCCTCCTTGCACATCCACATCCCCACCCAGCCACATTCCACTCTGTCAGACTATCCCGACCAGCAGCTTGTTGATTCCGAGCCAATCGCGTCTGATTATCATGAGCCCACAGAGGCACCTATGGATTCGGGCGACTATGACTTGGACGCTGCGGCCAGTGGCAGAGCCAGCAGTGGTGCTGATGCAGCAGCGGTGGCCACGTATCATGGTGATGCTTCAGCTTCTTCTGCTGCTGCTGCTGCGGCCTCCACTCCAGCGCCAGTTTCTCCTGCTGCTGTTGCTGCTGTCACAGCGCCTGCGAGCATGGGTGCAACGCCCAACACCATCAGTGCAGCGCTCTCCCCTGTACACCCACCTCCGCCTGTGTCTGCCACACCTGCTTCTGCCAAGGCTGCTTCTGCCGAGGCTGCTTCTGCCGAGGCTGCTTCTACCGTGGCTGCTTCCACTCTCCCTGCTTCGGGTTTCGGCCCGAGTCCGTTTGGTCAGCTTGCCTCTCAGTGGATTCTCTCCAATCTTCCGCCCCAACCTGTTGCCACCCAGTCGAACCCAGCCGCCCCGAACCTTCCAGACGTGCTGCCGAGCCTCTTGAACGGCCCTCCAAACCTCGAAAGTACCCGTCCGAGCCTGATAACCTCTGCAGCACCTGAGATCACTTATCCCTCCATGTCTGACCTTATAGCAGGGTGGTTTTCAGGTGCCAGCCCAGGTGTGACTATGCAGCAGTGGGGCTCTATGGGGGGACTTGGCTCCGGGATAGGAGCAAGCCCAAATGTGACTATACAGCCATGGGCTACTATAGGGGGAATGGGCTTGGGAACAGGACCCAGCCCAGGTGTGACTATGCAGCAATGGGGTACTGTAGGAGGGATGGGCTCAGGAATAGGAGCCAGTCCGAGTGTGACTATGCAGCAGTGGGGCTATATGGGAGGGATGCGCCCAGGGGTAGCAGCAAGCCCAGGTGTGACTGTAACGCAGTGGGGCTCGTTTGCAGGGGGGGGCGGAACGGGAAACGGGTTCGGAGGGCTCGGAGCGAGCCCAGGTGTGATTATACAGCCATGGGGCTCTATCGCGGGAGCAGCTGGAGTTGGGGCAGCAGCGGCAGAGTCAGGTGCAAGGATAGGGGCTGAGGCGACAGCAGGTGCAACCCCAGGTGTGACTGTACAGCAGTGGGGCTCTAACGAAGGGGCAGCAGCAGCAGCAGCAGCACCAGCACCAGCAGGACCAACACTAGCAGCAACCCTACCAGGACTGGAAGCCTCCCTAGAGCAGCTGCTACAGCAGATGAACCCATCCTCGTTACAAGACGCCAGCGCAATAATAGACGCTCTCAGCTTCCAAGCGTCTCTGGCCGCTTCAGCAGGGCACCTGGTGCTCCCATTCTCCAACATGCCTGCCCCACACGGACAGAGTGGGGGGAGCCCCGCCTCCTATGCCCCAACTGCCGCCGCCAATGCTCCTGCCGCTGCGAATGCCTCTCCCGCTGTTGCCAATACTACAGGTGGTTCCGCTAGTGAGGAGCCGCCAGGTTCAGCGTGTGAGCCCATGGATATATAGGCTCTAAGCTCCTCCGATTGAGGTGCCTTGTGAGCCTTTGCAGCCTTCACCTCATGATCACTTGTTACAGCCTTTGCAGCATTGTGGATCCCCTTGTCACAGTTCCATTTTTTGTCGCCTCAAAAGAAATAAAGAGTGTTTAGGGATCATACCGGTACGTCACTTTTGCAGGCATTGAGGCTTCCCATACAGCACTTCCAGCCACCTGTCCTCTTCTGCTGGCCGCCTGCTTTGTGCGTTACCGTATACCGCATATTTCATTATACAGTATCGATCACTCCCCCTCAGGGTTCAAAGGGAGTAGCAGACCCAGTACTTCTCAGTACTTCTCCCCAAGTGCTTATGGTGGTAAATGCTCAATTTCTTGCCTTGTATGGCATGGGGTGGGGTGGCATGGCACACATATGCCCGCTCCACTGCATTAGCCTTTCCTGAAATTTGTATTGAATAGTGGCCATGATTTGAGTGTAGCATCTGAATTAATATCACCGTAGCCACTGCTTGTGCTCTCCTTTCAACCCTGCAAAAACAAGATTGTGTATTGTCAAACATTTGTAACACTACAAACCCTACTGGGTTGCAGAGGAACGGCTCAACACAACCACCTGGGTGCATTCACATGTATGCACGTGCTATCAGTCCCTTGGTCATGCCTGTCATGCTCTCCCCCAAGTGTCCTCATCATCCGCCTGCTCTCTGTCACTACTGCTTCTCCCTTGCTTGCACCTCCTGCTTTGCTTGCTCCTGCTGCTGCACTCGCTCCTGTAAGTGGGGGGCAAACGTCTCGGCTACAAGCAGGGGGAAGGCGATGGTGGCATCGCAATGCACCTGCAGGTGGCCAAGGGGTGAATGGAGGATGGAGGAGATGGGTGAGAGGGCAGAGGAGATGGGTGGGAAGGCAGGGCAAATGAATTTCCAGTCAACTCAAAAGCAGAGGGAGGGAAATGGTGGCATCAGAATGCACCTGCCGGCAGGTGAAATGAAGGCATCAGATTGTAAGCTTTTAGTGCAGAGAGAGAGAGGGGCGAATGAGATAAAGGGAACGGCAAAGGTGATTCTTGACTTCGACTTACCACACAATGTGTGCTCTCTCATACCCCTGCAGTGTCATCACATACCCCGCCTGCTCCCAGTGCCTTTCTCTCCCCACATCATGTGGAGCTCGCTCACACTCTGGCACCTTCACAAGGCGACGTTAAGTCAACCAATATAAGCATGCTCCCTCTCACCTTCACAGCGGTGGCATCGCCTCGGATCTTCCCCCAGCTCACAGCCTCGTCCGGCCTGGCCCCCGAGTCGCTGCCATCGAACTCGCTCGCTGTGTTGATATAAACCGCGTAGTCCGCCCCGTTGCGCATCATGTTGGCGTTGCAGATGTGGTGCTTCGGCAGCCCGCCTCCCAGAATGATCACTCCTGTTCGTTGTGGGGTGGCGTTCACTGCCTCACCGTTCATCCGGCGAATGTCTTCAGGGAAACCGGGAAAAGTTCAGGGAAGAGGGTGAATACGGAGGGGGTGACGGGAGAGAGTGAGGGGAGGGGGTGACGGGGGTGTATAAGGGGAGTGGGAAGTCCGCCCCGTTGCGCATCATGTTGGCGTTGCAGATGTGGTGCTTCGGCAGCCCGCCTCCCAGAATGATCACTCCCGTGCGCCGCGGGGTGGCGTTCACTGCCTCACCGTTCATCGCCCGGATGTCTGGGGGGGGACGGTAGGGGTCAGGAGAGCAGGAAGGAAGAGCGCTCACCTTTAAGGCCAAAACAAGTCATCCAAGGAAATGTAAACCCTCACCTTTCTTGGTCAACGCCAGTCTCACCTTGCACGAGGTCAATGAGGAGCCCCGGTGAGCGGAAGGAGTGGAAGTAGATCATGTCTTGACCAGGTCAACGGAGTCAACGCAGGTCAACGCACCTTGCACGAGGTCAATGAGGAGCCCCGGTGAGCGGAAGGAGTGGAAGTAGATCATGTCTTGACCAGGTCAACGGAGTCAACGCAGGTCAACGCACCTTGCACGAGGTCAATGAGGAGCCCCGGTGAGCGGAAGGAGTGGAAGTAGATCATGTCACCCAGGGACCCGTCCGTGATGGCTGGACAGAACACCGGGATGTCGTTCTGACATTACAGGGGGGGTGGCGCACAAACGCAAAGATGCACAGGATATGGTTTTCTGTTATTTTCCTATTTTTTACTCAAGGGTTGGACTGCTGACAGTGTGATGGGGAAGAGGTGGGGAGGAGGCTGACCTTATGGGCCCAGTAGAGAACCGACTCCTCATGGTTGATTTCCTTCCCCAGGCGGTCGATGAGCTTTGAGGGCGTCCACACCACGCCCTGCTTGAGGCAGCAAAAAGGGAAGACAGGAGGGAGGGCAGTGAAAGTGCGGTTAGCAGGGAGGGCAATACTGGAACTCAGCAGCCGGTCGGTGAGCTTGGAGGGCGTCCACACCACGCCCTGCTTGACGAGAGGAGCAAGGGATGTGAATGTGCGGCTAGAATCTTATCTTTCAAGTTAAGTCAACAAATCCCCGCTCCCGGCGGTCAATGAGCTTGGAGGGCGTCCACACCACGCCCTGCTTGAGGCCGGCACACATGGGAAGCGGGAAGACAGAGGAAGTGCGGTTAGACTCACACTGTCACACGTCACACCACTGATTTGACTTAAAGAATCCCCCAGGCGGTTGATGAGGAGGGCGTCCACACCACGCCCTGCTTGAGGACGCACAGAGGGAAGGGCAGTAAATGTGCGGTTAGAGTTAGACGTCAGACTTGTGAGTCAACTAAAATAGTTCCCCCGGGCGGTCGATGAGCTGGAGGCCGTCCACACCACGCCCTGCTTGACGTGGGCACATGCGGGACGAGAGGAGGGAGGGCAGCGAATGTGTGGTGTGGATATGCTCTTGGACACCAGGCCTTGTCAAGTCAACAAATTCCTCCCCCCCCAGGCGGTCGATGAGGGGGGTGTCCACACCACGCCCTGCTTGAGGCCGGCACATGAGGGAGGGAGAGGAGGAAAGGAGGTGAATGTGGATTAAACTCTTATGCATCAGGAGGAACAAGTCAACAATTTCCCCCCCAGGAGGAACACTCCCTCTCCCCATTCCTCCCCTCACCTGCGTCTGCTGCTCGTGCAAGCAAGCATCCAGCACGGGCAGCACCCAGTCCTCGAACAGGCAGTAGTACCAGCAGGTTGCCAATGCGGTTCAGCCCCTTAGCCCACAGGTCCTTCCCCACCAGGCAGGAGACTCGCTCTCTCTTTCCCCCCTCACCTGGTTTTTCTGCTCCTCCAGACACGCGTCCAGCACGGGCAGCACCCAGTCCTCGAAGAGGCAATAGTTGTTATTTGGTACCAGCAGGTTGCCAATGCGGTTGAGCCCCTTGGCCCGCAGGTCCTTCCCTGGGAGGGAGAAATCGCCCAGGAGAGTGGGCGCCAGGCACTTTATCACGTCCTCTTCTATGCCCCCCGCTGTTGTCACTATCACATCCACCTGGACGGGTGTGCGGTTAGATGGGTGGGTGTATTGTATGGAACAAGGCAAAAATGAGGGGTTTTGACTATGAGAGAAGTGCATCAATATCATATTAAGGTAAAACAAGAATAAGAGTATGACTGAGCATAGAGCCAATACACTAACGGGAGTGGAGGAAGGAGGAGGGAAGCAAGAGGGAGGGAAGGAAAGAAATGGGGGAATCAAACAGATGTACTTGCCAGTTTGTGCTTTGCCAGGAAGTAGAACGTCTCTCCGAGCTCATGAGGTTGGATGTGAAGTCCAGGAAGATCTTGCAGCGCACTGACGACTAGGAGACTACGACTCTCCCTCTCTCTCTGTCCCTTTACTGAGTGAAACAACCCTTGACACGCTAACTCACACCACACAAGAGGCAGTGACCCACCAGTTTGTGCTTTGCCAGGAAGCAGAACGTCTCTCGGAGCCCCGAGCTCATGAGGTTGGATGTGAAGCCCAGAAAGATCTTGCACCGCACTGACGACCGGAAGGCCGGGTCCCTCTCCTCCTCCGTGTCGTCGGGCTTGGGCAGATCGTCACTCAGCCGCCATGCGAGCTGGGGAGGGGAGGGAGAGGGGGAAGGGGAGAGAGGGATGGGCATGTGGGGGACGACCGGAAGGCCGGGTCCCTCTCCTCCTCCGTGTCGTCTGGCTTTGGTGGGTCGTCCCATGCGAGCTGGGGAGGGGAGGGGAGGGAGAGGGGGAAGGGGAGTGAGGGATGGGTACATGTGGGGGGTATGAGGTAGGAAAGGACGACCTAAAGGCCGGGTCCCTCTCCTCCTCTGTGTCGTCAGGCTTGGGCGGGTCGTCGCTCAGCCGCCATGCGAGCTGGGGGAAAGCGGGGAAGGGAGGGGGTTGAAGGTGAGGGGAGGAAGGGGAGTGAGAGACGAATGGGGTCTGTCTGAGGTCAGACGAAACGACCGAAAGGCCGGTTGAGGGATCGTCACTCCTTCTCTGTGTCGCCCAGTTTGGGGCAGGTCGTCACTCAGCCGCCACGCGAGCTTGGAAGAGGAGGGGGGTTCAAGGGTTGAGGGTATAGGGTGTGGGTGTGGGTTTGAGGTAGGGCGGAGCCATGAGGGGAACAACGGGTACAGGGTTCGGGGTTTAACATGGAAAAGTCAATGTGGGGGATAAGAGAAAGGGGAGGGGGGGTTGAGGTGCTACGAAAGAAGGGAATGACAGGAGCTAACAGAGGGGCACGAGCAGGCAGAGGGGCGGCCGTGGAAGGAACATCAGACGCGGATCCTGCAATCGCACCATTCGATTGACTTCATTGATCGCTTGCCCCAGACACGTGGCCTGGAAACCCGTCGTCAGCATTCGCTTCATCAGCAGCGAGTAATCCACCGTCACCGATCCCGCCCCTCCTACTCCTACTGCTGCTGGTACGGCCCTACAAGCTTCCCCTCGCCCTGTTGGTTCTGCTGTAGCAGTCGTGACTGCATCGCTATCTCGAGTATCGCCATCCGCGCTACAGGGGGTTTCGATTCCGCTACCCTCTTGCGGCTGATCGCGGCGAGAAATTTCACGCGCGGGGATAACAGAAGCTTCGTGAAAGGTGTGCCCGCGGACACGTGGCGTACTGTCGTCTACAGCCTCGGATCGCTTCAGAGCCGCGTCTAGCGCGCACTGCGGTGGCTGCTGTTGCTCCATGGAGGAGTAACGCGCTTATGGCGCCTAGGAGCCTTGTTAAAGATCGTGCTGACCTACTGGTTCTTCTGTGCCGATGGTCTAGCTGCGGGGTTGAGTTGTGAGTTTTTCAGAATGGAGCGCCAGCGCAAGTGAGGCGTACATTTTGCCAAGCAGTGAGCATTGTGGACCAGTACAAGCAGACGCGTTTGTGGATGGTGTAGCACGTTCGCCACACATTTCAATTTCCCTGCAAGTAAAAATAAATAAGTGAATCCATCGAACATGGCATGTCCTAGGAAAACCAGCACAACCAACCCATTCTTGAACTTATTAAGTGAGAAGCTGCACTGAGAAAGTGCGGATTTCCCCTGGGGCTAATTCCACTGTAAGGGAAGTTGGGTCCATAGGGCCGCCCTGGGGTGAATGCTCCTTTGAATGGCTCGAATCACCATCGACATGCCATGTCATTGGACGGCGCATATCTGATCGTTTCTGATTAGCCATTAGACTCAACTCTGTCACTCCTTGGATCTGCACCAATCAGAGCACACAGAAGGGAACGTGAACAAACAGGGGGACAAAAACAGGCGTGCACCAGCAGCTGGGGGCATCATTAAGACAGCACAAATGATTGTGTATGGGTAATGTACAATAGGATATGATGCATTACCTTTTGCGATGAAAGGAGTTGCCTTAGGTCTACGCGCTCCATTCTGGACTGTGTTGGATGCTCATCAGCCTATGGGGATGGTGGGGATGGTGGAAAGAGGGGAGCTGCCTTGAACCACAAGTGAAGGTTCGAGCACTATGCATCCTAGGGATATTAAAGGTAAAACCAAGAAGTGATTGAGGCTTTTTCACAGAGAAAGTGGGGAGGAGAAATTTCTGAAAGGCCAGCACATGTGCGCCTGCATAAAAGTGATGCTAGGTATGGTGTATGGTGTCATGGGGAGCGGCACAATGATCCGTGCGCACACTGTTCTCAAGCTTGCCGTACCTCGTACAGATGCGCCAGTCGCAGCACAATGCTCCTTGGGGACAGCTCCTGCATGAGAAAGAGTGCAGGGGAAGCAACAGGCAATGAGGCGCCGCCACATTGGACCAAGCCGGCGTGGTTGTGTTCAGCTAGGAATACATCAGTACAAAGACGGTACGTTCTCGTCTCACAACACCATGCCATGGAACAACTTTTGAGGCGTCTCAAAAGTGTTCAACAAGGAATGCATTAGCACAAAGACGGTACGTCCTCGTCTCACAACACCGTGCTATGGAACAGGATCGAGACGGGATGGAAACGAGGGGCTGCCAGGAGGGTCCAGCTGTCTCGATAAAGCTAGATTGGCAAGCTAAGGGTTTCAATCTGAACTGCGAGGAGATATGGGGGCTCAATCTGACCTGGAAGGAGCTAGGGGGGGGGTTCAAGCTGACCTGGAAGGAGATGACAGCAACGTTGGGTGGCAGGGAGTAAGCAGACTTGGGTGTGCGGGAATTGCTGGCACGTGCTCCCTGCGAGATGGAGTAGCGCCACCTGTGGGTTGCCTCCGCTGCTCTTATGGCCTCCTTTGTCTGTGGGGGAACAAGAGTTAGTGGGTGTGGTGGGTTGACAGGGTGAGTTGGATATTGGATTTTCCCAAAGAAGCAACTGATCTGACAGGGAGGCAGTGGGATGCGGTGGGCTGATAAGGATGGACAGCTGTGACACGGATATGGTTGCTTGCAACAGATGAATCAAGAGGAGGGATGACAGGGTGAAGGAATCGAGAGGAGGAAACTGGCAAGATCTCGTAAATTGCTGCAACAGATGAAATAGGGTTGACTTAGCAGGAAAAAAAGGCACGAATGAACGTCAACAGCAAACTCGTTGCACAGACAAAAAGCATGCGCAGGCGCTAAGGGCAAACATGGCAGACAAACAAGAACGCACCTCAACAGCAAACGCCAGCTGCAGAGGGGCAATAAGGCGCTGGGCATGCACCCTCCTCCACTCCGCCCCCTGCCCCTTCCCCCCACCCTCTCCCTCCTGCCTCTCCCCGCCACGCCTTTCCCGAGGCCGGCCCATCTCTGAGAAACCCTGATTCGCCTCCTCTTTGCCCCCTCCTCCGTCTGTCTCAGCCCCTCGCCTTCCATGGGGGTTTGCAGCGGCCGCGTCAGCATCAGCAGGGGCAACGGCAGAAGTGGTTGCTGTAGGTTGCTCCTCCTCGTGCTCCTCATCTCCCACCCCTGTGCTGCCCCCTGGGTGCAAGCCAAAGCGGATGGAGCCTATGACCTGGAGGGGTAGGAGGGGGGGTGGGCAAGGGATTAGGAAGGAAGGTCAAAGCATGACGGAAACAAGAGCACACTCGACTGGCAGCCTGGCAGGCACTACGTGCTGCTTGCTTGCGTTTACGACAGTTGACTCTGAACACATTTCATGAATCCAGCTTGTTTTTCTAAGGACATGTTATTCCGAGCCATGCCATGCATTGTACACATGAGCATACCATGAGGCGCTCCCTGTTGCCGTTGAATTCGATGTACTCGTTGAGAATCTCCCCCACTCCCTTCATGTCCACCGTCACCAGTGCCCTGCATTCGCACACGCAGAGGTTTGAAATCACAAATTTCGGTACATGTTTAATGGAACGTCTCGGCGACTGCTGCGAGTGCCCAGTCATGTCAAGATTCTCATTGTAAGATTCTTCTAAGGCTCACCGGTGCAGCATGACTTGGAGCTGTCCGGCTGCCAGGCTGGCAGCACCGGCTGCTCGGTCCACCAGCAGCGACAGCTGCGCCTCGCCATCCCCGATGAACGCGCCCACCGTCACCTGGGAGAGGGAGGGAGCCGGGTAGGATGAAGAGGATATTGAGTGGCTTTAAACATCGCCGATGAATGCCCCCACCGTCACCTGCGGAAGGGATAGGAGTGAGGGGTGGGAGAGGAGTAGGAGTGAGTGGTGGGAGAGAGGTACGAGTGAGGAGTGAGAGAGGGGTAAGTGAGGGTTGGGAGAGGCGTAGGAGTGAGGGTTGGGAGAGGGGCAGGAGTGAGGAGGCAGGAAGGCTGTCTTAAGGCACATCAAACACCCGTATGAGTGCAACCACCGTCACGTGCGGGAGGGATGGGGACAAGCTGCGTGGAGTGAAGTAAGGACTGGTTCAAGTCAACGGGCTGAGTGAAGTGGACTGACAGTAAGGATTGGTTGGACTGGACTGGACTGACAGTAAGGATTGGTTGGACTGGACTGGACTGACAGTGAGGATTGGTTGGACTGGACTGGACTGACAGTGAGGATTGGTTGGAGTGCACTGACCGGATAGAAATTGCCTGCGATGGGATCGGTGACTGTAAGCTCCCAATCAGCACGATGGTCCACAATCTGGGGGAGAGGGCATGGGATTGAGGGGGGTGACAGGGAAGCGAGGAAGGGGTGGGGAGGGAGACAGGGAGTATGGGAGAAGGGAGGGTTGGGAGAAGAAGAATGGGGAAAGAGAGGTGCACGAAGGTGGGAAGGAAGAGGGGAAAATGGACGGATGGAAAACACCAAGAAACAGGTAAGGTGGAAAGAGGAGGGAAAGAGAAATCAGGCAGCTTTCACCAAACAGCCAACAGCACTTGTGCCGGTTGTTCACAATAGTGGCTGCATTAAAACGTTCATACTCACTATAAGCTACTCTCCCTGTTTACGAGCTCACCCGTTTGAGGTACCGCCTGCCATTGGAGTCAGTAAAGAACGTCTTGTAGCTGCTGATGGGGGCTGAAAAGCGAGTCACCACCTCGTGACCCTTGTTGTCATCAGGGGTAGGCCCGATCTGTGGGGTGTGGTTGAGGAGGGAGAGAATGGAGATGTGCTATGAGTCGACTTCAACACACAAAGCGGGTCACCACCACCTAGTGACCCTTCTTGTCATCGGGTGTAGACCCGATCTGTGGAGTGTGGTTGAGGAGGGAGAGAATGGAGATGTGCTATGAGTCGACTTAAACACACAAAGCGGGTCACCACCACCTCGTGACCCTTCTTGTCATCGGGTGTAGACCCGATCTGTGGAGTGTGGTTGAGGAGGGAGAGAGTGCAGTGAGGCGAGAGAGTACGAGCAGCAACACACATAACCGGCGTGTGACGAGTTTTTCTTCTTAGGCGCCTCAAAGCATATCTCTTGTGATGAGAAGCACAACATGTGAGGGGAGCGCTGTAAGACAGGAGGGGCGGGGGGGGTGAGCAAAGGGGAAGGATGTTCTAAGACAACTGCTTGCGCATTACATCAAGAGGGGGAGCAGAGCACAGGCGCCGGCCTCAGCGCATGTGCGAAGCACGACAGTCGCGGATGTAAATCGTTTGAGCCAGGCAGTTTGCCAAGGAGCGCGGGTAGGGTACCTCTCAGGTTAGAGTGCGTGATTGTAGGGGGGAAGGGCTCTTACCACATAGTGCAGTTCGGCATAGTCACACCCTGGGTACACCCGGAAGGTCTGCAACGAAATGCACGCAGCAGTCAGAGGGTGAGGGGAAAGGGGGACGTGGAGGAAGGGAGGGGTGAGGAATGGGAGGAGGTGGGGAAAATGGGAGGAAAGCGGGAGGAAGGGAAGAGTAGGAGCAGAAGGAAAGAGAGTGAATGCAAGCAGCAGGGGAGATATAGGAAGCGGGAGGGCCGCAGAAGGATTCCGTTTTGGCGGTCGGCGTACCTCTGAAACCCATGGGGCAACTTGCCGAGAGAACTCTTCCACGATTGGTCCACGTTGAACACGGATGGACACCTGGACACGTCAGCATCGCCACAGAGAGACATGAGGTTCCACTGGGAATGCATTTGTGTGAGTGCACAAACAGCAGTGTGAGTGACGAATACATGCTTTCCTTCCATTCTCTGGTTAGTCCATGAGATAATCAGACGGATGATCGCACTCACCTGGTCGTCTTTCTGAGACAGGTTGCCTGCTTCAGCAGAGGGGTCAAAGATGTAGGCACCACCCTGGAAGGCGGGGTGGGAGGCGAGAGGGGAGGCGAGAGAGCAGGAGGGAGGATATGCACGGAGAGGGGAGGGACGTGGGTGGGGGGCAGAGAGGGGTTGACTGGGGATCGCGAGGGAGGGCAGGGAGCAGGACGAATGAGAGGGAGGGTCAAGGAAGTGAGAGGCGGGGAAACCGCCTATTGTGTACCGCTGTGTACCTATTGTGTTAATTAGTCCACCGCTGTGTACCTATTGTGTTAATTAGTCCACCGCTGTGTACTATTGTGTTAATTAGTCCACCGCTGTGTACCTTTTGTGTGGCATACTCCAGTACGTCCGACCTGACAGGCTTTGCCACATCCTGCCAGGGAAGGAAGAAAGCAACGGAGAGGTTGCATGGGGAAGGATATGGCAGAGAAGAGGCAAGAAGAGGGGAAGGGGAGTGAGAGGGTTATTGGGGGGGTGCGGGTCGTCTCGACAGAAGGACAAGCCAGGTGATGTTAGGAGATGGGAGGGACTGTGTTTGCCTGCAGCGAGAGAATTTGTCATCCAGACACACCATATACAAGTGGTAGCTTTTGCCAGCTTATATGAGTGCTCTCCATTCCATGGGATGTGTGCAACCATCCATTCGCGCCACTGCCACAATCTCCTTCTGCCCATCAATTTGTGGAATGTGTTGCGTGTGCATCATGCCATACACTGACGTGCAGAATGACACACGTGACAAACCCATTGTGGATCCTCCCTCCCTCTCCCTCACAGCCAAGCTCACCACCACCGCAAGCACCCCCAGCAATTACTCGCAGCATTCATCCTCCCTGCTCTCCCACAAGCCCCACTCTCCATCACACTACTATCCCATCCCATCCCAAAAAGCTAACTCGCACTAACCACAGCCATGTGTCACATGCGTCCATCTGCCATGTTAAAGTTCCCTGTCGAACGAGCTCCATCTGCGTCATGCCATATGCAGCTGACTTGGCTTGGAGAACGTCACTTGCAGTGTGGACCCTCCCCCCTCTCCCACATGGCCGAGCTCACCTCATCTCCCCCTCCAACCAGCCCCTATAGATATCCCATTTTCACCACTACCGCTATCAACCCCGGCAGATATCCTGCCGCACTCACCACAGTCACGTGTCCGCCATCTGCCTGTCGAACGAGCTCCATCTGCGTCATGACATACGCTGCCTTGGAGAACGTCACTCGCAGTGCAGTGTCTCCCTCCCTGCCTGCACCGGTAGCCTCGCCAGCAGCTTTGAAGCCCCCTAGAACGATGTTTTCAGAGGAAGGACCTGCGGGGCCTTTGAGGGCGGGGACTGTTGCAGACTCTGTAGTGCTGATGATAGCCGCTCCTTTTGTGCCTGCAAGGGAGGCGTGCAGGTGAGACGAACAAATCGAGTGTGTGGCAATTTATGAGGCGCCCCAAAGATCGCCTTTGAGGGCAGGGACTGTTGCAGCCTCTGTGGTGCTGATGACAGCCGCTCCTTTTGTGCCTGCACGGGAGGCGCAGAAGGGACGAACAAACAGTGTGTGCGGCAGGGGAAGGGGCAGGGGGGAGGAGAGGGGAAAAAGAGAGTGAGGCGTGTAGCCTTTCACCCTGTTTAGGCCAGTGTGCGGGGTAGACCGTACAGCGTCACTTCTGATGTGCTATAAGTCAGCAGCATGTTCCCTTAATTCCTCTGATCTTCCTACAGCAAATCACATCTGCCCTTTGCCTTCGCCTTACCGTCATTTCCTTTGCCTTCGCAATCACCTCTATCAATATGCACAAAGGAGAACCGACTCATTCCAGCACGCTCTGCAGCTGGTGGCACCCCTGCCTTGTCCAGCTGGAGAGAGACGGCTTCATTGCTCACACTCCCTCTGTCACTGCCACTGTCACTGTCATTGGCTCATACCTGGTGGCACGGCAGTGAGGAAGAAGGTGGCGTATCCAAGAGGCGGCACCTCGGCAGGGAACACAACTGACACTGGCCGGCCCTCCTGCTGTCACTACTGCTGTCACTGGCTCATACCTGGTGGCACGGCAGTGAGGAAGAAGGTGGCATAACCAAGAGGAGGCACTTCAGCACGGAACACCACTGACACAGCCCGCCCCTCCTGCTGCACCTGACCCCCATCCGTTTGCCCCTCCTGCTGCCCTGGCTGCTGGGGCTGCTGCTGAGACTGCTGGGGCTCCTGGGGCAACTGGCCGGTGTATGCAGCAACATAGAAGGCACGTGTGTTGGGGTCTACGAGGGTTTCGGTGATGATTTGAGCGGGGATGGGGGAGTTGGACGAGTCTGTCACGAGGACTGATGGCGAGGACACCTGCAAGGTAGGAGAGGAGGGTAGAAGTGCAGTTAGGTTGGGAGGAAGGGGGAGGAAAGGGGAGGGGAATTGCGGTGGTTGGTGAGGAAGGGGGAGGGTGTAGAGCCGAGGGGGGCAATGGATTATGGAGGGATGAGGTGGGAAGACGCGCAGAAATGAAAGGAGACGAAGAGACATGGAAAAATGCCAGCGCAAATTGGAAGCAGGATGTGATAGGAGGCAGAAGAGGGCGTACCGGAAACCGAACGATCTCGGTGCGAGGCCACCCTAGTGGGTTGACCACAGTCACCACCTGGTTGGGGAATGGGTGCAAGAAAGTCGGTAGAATTAGGACTCCAGAGTCAAGTTCTGATGGAAGTTTAGCATGGGGCATGGCTCGATCAACAGCAGGAAGTGTACATGGGGAGGAGAAGGAATCTAAACGATGAAGGAGAGATTCAGGGGTTGAAACACAGGAGGACATGAGGAGGAGAAGGGAAGGTGAAGCGTACCAGCACGTGGTCTTGGCCGAGGTTGGTTTCAGATGGGGGGCAGAAGGAGAGGTTGAGCAGCGGACACTGCAGTACGACGAGGAGAATGGAATGGGAGAGGAATGCAGGGGATGGGACGGATGGCGTGGAAAGGGGATGGGAGGGATGGCGTGGAAAGGGGATGAAAATTGTGGATGCTGGAAAAAGGGGCTTGAAAAAGTGGAAGGGGACCTTAATAAGGGATCAATGATTTCTCAGAGCGAAGAGTAAGTGACGTCTCTACTTGCCCACAGCAGTGAGAAGCTTGGCAGCTGGATGGTTTCGTAGAAACTGTAAAACGACAAAAGCATCACATACCATTTGGAAGTCCAGCACAGGCATATCGTGCGTCGCCCCTCCCTCGCTTGCACTCCTTCGATCACCACCCTCTGTGCTCGCTTGCTCGCTGTCCTCCTTCCCTTGACGCACATCGCTTGCACTTCCTCCTTCCCTCAGAAGCCGCCTTCCCCTGTTGCTGCTGCCTGCGCCACTCCATACCCTCCCCGTTTCCCCACCCACCACTCTGCTACTCTCTCCCGCTGTGCTGGTATCCCTTCCACTCAGCAACATCTCTTGCCCCCGTCTCCCAGGTGAAACATCCTCCTGTGGAGCATGAACATCAACGGGCCCTGTGGGTCGTTCCTGAGCATTCTCGTCTGTCCATTGCACTCTCTGCTGCGACTGGAGTGTCTCTTCTACAGGGGGCACTTGGCGATTGTAAGGGAAGAACGATGGCACATCCACTGAGTGCTGCGGCTCTCCCTCATTCGAGCCTGCATCACCCTGAGTCAATTCTGGGTGCAGTTGAGAGAACAGCGGGTCAGGCTCGCTACCGTCTGGCATAGGCGGATCAAATGGACTGGCAGTTTCGAGGGTTGGCTTTTCAGGAAACGACTGGGGCTGATTCGGGTCTACAGGATCCCATGGCTGGGCTTGTAACTGAGCAGCAGGATCAAGTGTGGGGTCATTGAAGGGAGGGAAGTCTGAGGGCCCCATTGTTGGGTCAGCAGTGGGTGTGAAGAAGGCTCGAGATGGGTCTTGGGGAGTTGAGCTGGACGTTGGGGAAGAGGAGCGCGGCGGGAGAGTGGTGGGGGCTGCTTGGGTGATGAGGTGAACAAGAGCAGCTGCCACTACAGTGGAGGCCTGGAGTGATTGTAAGGAGGGGAGAAACGGGATGGAAACAGGGGAAAGGTGTGGTGTAAAGGTGGGTCACTCAAAAAGGAGTGAACGCCAAAGCATAGACAGTGAGTGAAATGGTATCCGGCATAAGTGGACAGCCTAGACTCTCGACACCCTTCCCCACAACTGCAACCACCTTTCACCTCCCTCCCCTCGCCCCCCCTTGAGATGATTCTTGAAGTCTGACCATGAGGGCAACATTCACTTGCTGCTCTACCCCACCCAACCCCCCCATACCACTCTTCCCACCGCTTCCACCCCCACCCTCCCCCTCTTTCCTCACCTCCTGTGCTGCTCGGTGCAGGCGGAGCGTGTAGTCGTCATTCACGTGCTGCTGGGCCGTGCCTGTGATGGCATCGTGATGCTGTGCCACCGCCACTGCCTCCTCCAAAGGGAACGTCGACGCCACCCTCCTCCTCCTCGCACCTGCACCCACATGCTCCCACTCCTCCCACTCACCACTCTCAACATTCCCTCCCACTCCCCCTTCTCCACTCCCTCCTCCCCCACCCTCTCCCCCAACTCCACCACTATCGCCCCCTTCCGCCCTGCTGGTGGCTTTCAGGTTCTTTCCCAGGTGATTGTCGAACAGAAACTCGTCTGTAGCGATCATTCTGTTGGTTTTCAGCCCCCAGTCCCTCAGAGCAGTCTTGCCCACAGCAGCCTCGAGAATTGTGGTCGCCTGGGCGCGTTAGGAACAGGGGGATGAAAGGTACAGAATAGTCGCTGGGAGATGAAGGGACAAATGGGCCCCCCCAAGTGAATTGGAAGAAGAGAAAACTGGAGAAAGGGGAGTGATAGGGGTGCAGAGGATGCGGCCATTTGCATAAGTACAGGAGCACATGCGAGACGATAGACAGGAGGTGGGGTGTAGACAAGGGAGGTTGACGGGGTTGACTTGGCTGAGACAAGGACGGGCAAGAAGAAGTGGGCCATACATCGGGCCGGGACACGTCAAGTCAAGTCAAGTCAGTTCAAGTCCATTCAAGGCAAAAACGACGTACCAGCAGCAGGGAGCTGCAGGCGCGGGCATAACGCTTGAAGTTTGCCCGGCTGGCGAAATACCCCGTCCAGACGAAGTTTGGGGCGTCGGCATAGCTGGATGTATGGCCAGGGAGGGAGGAGAGGAGATAGAGTGAACAGCAGGGTCTTGAATAAGGAGAAGCATGGAAAAAAAGAAGTGCTGGCAGGGCATGGCAGGGGAGGGAGGAGGGAGAAACAAGCGTGGGAGAGACACAGGAAAGGTCAGAATGGATGTACATGGATATAAAAATTTACTAAATTACTGATATTTTTCTAAGATCACGTAGTCTGTACGCACGGGAACATGTCACCGGTCTTGAGAGGCCACGTCTTGTTCTCCTTTTGAACGGCGTCCACATAGAGGGACGGCGTGGAGTAGAGGGCGTTGACCCGGCCATCCTGACAGGGGTGAGGGGCGCAAATGAACACACATTGCACAAGAGAGTGTGCATGGCATTGCGTGGCGTGGAGTAGAGGGCGTTGACCCGGCCATCCTGGACTCTGGAGCACAATTGTCATGCACAGTATAGGTCAGCCAGGAAAAAAGCAGCTGACAAAATCGTGAACGCTTTATTCATGGATGTTAAGGGGATTCGATTTAACCGTGCCACAATCCCAGAACATGCCAAACGTGGTGGGGTGGAGGGGTGGCCGGGTGGGGGGGAGAAGGGGTGGGGGGGGAAGGGGTGGAGGGGTGGACGAGTGGAGGGGTGGGTGGGTGAATGGGTGGAGGGGTGGAGGGGTGGTCGGGTGGAGGGGTGGAGGGGTGGTCGGGTGGTGGGGTGGAGGGGTGAAGGGGTGGACGAGTGGAGAGGTGGAAGGGTGGAGAGGCGTCTGCCTCTTAGAGGAGAGGCACCCCTTAGGGGAGAGGCGCCTGCATATTAGAGGAGAGGCGCCTCTTAGAGGGCGCCTCTTAGAGGAGAGCGCGCGCGTGGACCAAGGCGCGCACGTGGACCAAGGCGCGCGCGTGGACCAAGTCGCGCGCGTGGACCAAGGCTCGCGTGGACCAAGGCGCGCGCGCGTGGACCAAGGCGCGCGCGTGGACCAAGGCGCGCGCGTGGACCAAGGCGCGCGCGGGGACCAAGGCGCGCGCGGACCAAGGCGCGCGCGTGGACCAAGGCGCGCGAGCGTGGACCAAGGCGCGCGCGCGTGGACAAGGCGCGCGCGCGCGAACCAAGGCGCGCGCGCGGACCAAGGCGCGCGCGCGGACCAAGGCGTGCGCGCGGGGACCAAGGCGCGCGCGCGGGGACCAAGGCGCGCGGGCGGGGACCAAGGCGCGCGGGCGGAGACCAAGGCGCGCCCGTGGACCAAGGCGCGCGCCCGTGGACCAAGGCGCGCCCGTAGACCAAGGCGCGCGCCCGTGGATCAAGGCGCGCCCGTGGTCCAAGGCGCGCGCGTGGACCAAGGCGCGCGCGTGGACCAAGGCGCGCGCGCGTGGACCAAGGCGCGCGCGCGTGGACCAAGGCGCGCGCGCGTGGACCAAGGCGCGCGCGCGGACCAAGGCGCGCGCGCGGACCAAGGCGCGCGCGCGGACCAAGGCGCGCGCGCGGACCAAGGCGCTCGCGCGGACCAAGGCGCGCGCGCGGATCAAGGCGCGCTCGTGGACCCAGGCGCGCGCGCGTGGACCCAGGCGCGCGACCTGGCGCGCGCGCGGAACAAGGCGCGCGCGCGCGGACCAAGGCGCGCGCGCGCGGACCAAGGCGCGCGCGCGCGGACCAAGGCGCGCGCGCCGAACCAAGGCGCGCGCGTGGACCAAGGCGCGCGCGCGTGGACCAAGGCGCGCGCGCGGACCAAGGCGCGCGCGTGGACCAAGGCGCGCGCGCGTGGACCAAGGCGCGCCCGTGGACCAAGGCGCGCCCGCGTGGACCAAGGCGCGCGCGTGGACCAAGGCGCGCGCGCGAAGACCAAGGCGCGCGCGCGTGGACCAAGGCGCGCGCGCGTGGACCAAGGCGCGCGCGCGTGGACCAAGGCGCGCGTGTGGACCAAGGCGCGCGCGTGGACCAAGGCGCGCGCATGGACCAAGGCGCGCGCGTGGACCAATGCGCGCGCGTGGACCAAGGCGCGCGCGTGGACCAAGGCGCGCGTGGACCAAGGCGCGCGCGTGGACCAAGGCGCGCGCGTGGGTCGCGCGCCCGTGGACCAAGTCGCGCGCCCGTGGACCAAGGCGCGTGCGTGGACCAAGGCGCGCGCGTGGACAAAGGCGCGCGCGTGGACCAGGGCGCGCGCGTGGACCAGGGCGCGCGCGTGGACCAGGGCGCGCGCGCGGACAAGGGCGCGCGCGCGGACAAGGGCGCGCGCGCGGACAAGGGCGCGCGCGCGGACAAGGGCGCGCGCGCGGACCAGGGCGCGCGCGCGGACCAGGGCGCGCGCGCGATCGTGAAGGATTAGGGCGCGCGCGCGTGGACCTGCCTCTCAGAGGAGAGGCGCCTCCTCTTAGAGGAGAGGAGCCAGCCTCTCAGAGGAGTGGCACCTGCCTCTCAGAGGAGAGGCGCCTGCCTCTCAGAGGAGAGGCGAATCTTAGATGGGTGGACGGGTGGAGGGTGGAGGGGTGGAGGGGTGGATGGGTGGAGGTGCGGAGGGGTGGAGGGGTGGATGGGTGGAGGGGTGGACCGGTGGAGGGGTGGAGAGGTGGACGGGTGGAGGGGTGGATGGGTGGGTGGGTGGAGGGGTGGAGGGGTGGAGGTGTGGATGGGTGGATGGGTGGAGGGATGGAGGGGTGGAGGGGTGGAGGGGTGGATGGGTGGAGGGGTGGAGGGATGGAGGGGTGGAGGGGTGGATGGGTGGAAGGGTGGATGGGTGGAGGGGTGGAGGGGTGGAGGAGTGGATGGGTGGAGGGGTGGAGGGATGGAGGGGTGGAGGGGTGGAAGGGTGGAAGGGTGGAAGGGTGGAGGGGTGGCGGGGTGGATGGGTGAAGGTGTGGATGGGTGGATGGGTGGAGGGGTGGGTGGATGGAGTTCTGGAGGGGTGGACGGGTGGAGGGGTGGAGGGATGGATGGGTGGATGGGTGGAGGGATGGAGGGGTGGAGGGATGGATGGGTGGAAGGGTGGATGGGTGGAGGGGTGGAGTGGTGGGGTGGCGCCTCTCCCTCACAACCCCCCAGAGCAGCGGCGCCTCTCCCTCACAACCCCCCAGAGCAGCGGCGCCTCTCCCTCACAACCCCCAGAGCAGCGGCGCCTCTCCCCCACTACCCCCAGAGCAGCGGCGCCTCTCCCTCACAACCCCCAGAGCAGCGGCGCCTCTCCCTCACAACCCCCCCAGAGCAGCGGCGCCTTTCCCTCACAACCCCCCAGAGCAGCGGCGCCTCGCCCTCACAACCCCCCAGAGCAGCGGCGCCTCTCCCTCACAACCCCCAGAGAAGTGGCGCCTCTCCCTCACAACCCCCCAGAGCAGCGGCGCCTCTCCCTCACAACTCCCAGAGCAGCGGGGCCTCTCCCTCACAACCCCCCAGAGCAGCGGCGCCTCTCCCTCACAACCCCCAGAGCAGCGGCGCCTCTCCCTCACAACTCCCAGAGCAGCGGGGCCTCTCCCTCACAACCCCCCAGAGCAGCGGCGCCTCTCCCTCACAACCCCCAGAGCAGCGGCGCCTCTCCCTCACAACCCCCAGAGGGGTGGATGGGTGGATGGGTGGAGGGGTGGATGGGTGGATGGGTGGAGGAATGGATGGGTGGAGGGGTGGAGGGGTGGATGGGTGGAGAGGTGGAAGGGTGGATGGGTGGATGGATGGAGGGGTGGATGGGTGGAGGGGTGGAGGTGTGGAGGTGTGGATGGGTGGATGAGTGGAGGTGTGGAGGGGTGGAGGTGTGGATGGGTGGAGGGGTGGTGGGGTGGAGGGGTGGAGGGGTGGAGGGGTGGAGGGGTGGAGGGGTGACTGACCAGGTTGAGATAGTGGATGAGCCTCTCCATGTTCTTGAACCACGTAAAGCACATAGCATATACCACTACCAAACCGTACCATACCACCAAGCCATACCATGGCAACCTCACAGCGACTGACCAGGTTGACGTAGTGGTCCATGTTCTTGAACCACATCGAGCCATACCCCTACCTTATCGCACCGTACCACACCATGCCATGCCACAGCAACCCCACGTCGACTGCTGACCAGGTTGACGTAGTGAATCAGCTTGTCCATGTTCTTGAACCACACGGAGCACACCATGGCATACCATACCCTACCTCACTGCATCACACCACACCGTGCCACGCCGACTGACCAGGTTGACGTAGTGAATGAGCTTGTCCATGTTCTTGAACCACATGGAGCTCAGCACAATATACCCACCACTCCATATCATACCCCTGTGCCATACCGTACCAGCATACCATAACATGCGCACACTGACCAGGTTGACGTAGTGAATGAGCTTGTCCATGTTCTTGAACCACATGATGGCCTCGTTGAACGAGAAGTCCTCGCCCATCGGGAACAGCAGATGGTTCGTGCGGAAGGCCCGCGCCTGAAGGGGGGGCGAGAGGGAGCGAGCGACAGCGGGAGAGGCGAGAAGGCGGGTGGGATGGGGGTGGCATTGGAAGGATGGTGTTGTTCGAGCGTGGCTGCCCAGCACACAGAAGGAACTTCTTATATGATTCTCTCGGTGGACTTAACTGCTTCGACATGAGACTGACTGGCCCTATATGGAACGGAACCTGTGCGTGCTGGATCATCCTGAATTTGACCTGACTCACCTTGCATATGCTGACTCACCCTGTTTAATGTCTCCTGAACAAAGAAGTTCACAAATTGCTCCACGTTGGGGTCTCTCTCGTTCGGCCAGTCCTGAAGGAGAAAAGGGGACACAGTGAGTGACGTGATTGCACATAGCATCGCGCAAGTACTGCAATTCATTTTTTGTCTGCGTCTATATGCTACCATGCGATGCCATGACATAACATGCCATGCCGTACCATACCATGTCATTACACGCCTCACCAATGCATTCTTTCACATTTATGTCCCAGATATGATACTTCTCCAACCACCTCTCAAACGACCCACCCGCTCATTCCCAATGAGCTCTTTGTCTGTCACCTGGGACCAGACTTGTAGTAAGGATCACATTCCATTCCATTCCACCATCCAATATCCCAGGCCCACTGCTTGTGCCTCCCTATAATGCTACAGGCCACCAAGCAACCTCGCCACTAACTCTCCACCAATCTGCTTACCCGGAATCGGTAGATTGGGCTGTCTGTCTGCTGGTACCGGAACTCCTGTGGCGAGTAGTACCCGTCGTACAGAATCCCGGTGAACACCTGTGTATCACTGGGTGCACCTGTGCCCGCCCGCCACACAAACTCCATCTTCTGCTCTGCTTTGCGCTTCTCCATGTCTTTATAGTCCGCTCGGCCAAAGATAAAGGCCTCCAAGCCACCCTGTCCGTGACACAGGAGTAGACGGTACGGGAGTATATGTGACAGGATTGCACAACGCATGACAAATAATTGGTGGATGATAATAGGTACAGATAATAACAGCTCCTCCCGAGATGAGAGGCTGGTGACAGATGCTGCTACAACGAGAGATGCTGCTAACGAGGATATGATAAAGAGGACGAAAAAAAACCAGAGGGAAATTTTTTTCTCACCTGCGAGGTGATGAGGCTAGCCTGGGTGGCGGAGTGGCCGAAGGGGTCTATCTGCCATGCAACACGCGGAGTGATGTTGAAGTGCTCCTGGATGAAGCGATGGCCCATGGACATCTGGTGCACCATGTCCGTGTAGTGGCACACCGCCTCGTCGTGCATCACCCACCCGCCATTGCTGCACAGCACACCGGAGAGCAGGGAATCGAGCAGGATAGGGTATGAGTGCGGAGAGCCTATTCCAGGCAGCAAATGCGCGCCTGTGTGAGGCCTTGCAGGCAAGGCGAGAAAACGGTCGCATGTGCCGAAACGTGTTGGCGTCAAGTGCTCAGGTGGTGTCTCAGATTCTCGACCTTCGGGCTCACATGAAGAATTGCGTGCATGTGAGGCAACACCTCACGAAGTGAGGCCGGATTTTGGCATGTAACAACAAAATTCAGACGTGTGAGTTTACAGGCCAGGTTCTTAGATGTGATGACTTGCACAAGCGTGATGAGGAGTGACGTCTGAGGGGACATGAACGTTCAGCTTGCCAGATTCATCCCTTGGATAGCTTGTGGACTTACATGAACTCAAGTTGACCAGAAGCGACAAGCTTCCTGACTCTATTCCTCATTGTCTCGCCCTGCTGCTGCCACCATAAGAAGAAGAACCCCTGCCATAACATACAATTGCAACATAGGCGTTAATGCATGTCTCGTTTCACGGCGAATCGGGACAAACATTGCGTCTTAGAGACGCGACAGCTCACCTGTTCGACTTGTATAAATTTACGGTCAGGATTATCTGCGAGCTGATCGACGACGGTCTCGATGATGTATTGCACTTGGTCAAGCTGCCAAGGAGGTATGCAGAATCAGCGTGAGTGACAAGAATGCTAACAAGCATATACGATCTGTGGCTTGAACGTACATAGTACTCATCAACTGTCTTCACCCATCCTAGATCGTCGTGGGAATGAGCAATCAAATGGACGTTCAACTTCCCTTCCACAGTTCCCACTGACGTATTATAATGAATCGGTAACCGTTCTTCAAACGAAAACGATCGCTTGTCGACGGAATTCTTTATCATTTGGTGCGAATCGACATATTCCGTCTGCTGCTGGTCTTCCGTAAAAGATTGATACTTCAGGTGGGTAGACATTGACTGCTGCAGAGCTAGCAGAGTGAATCCCGTTAAGATGCCAATAAGAAAAGGCGGAGCAAGCATTGCAGTTCGACTTATCCATGTCGGTGACATGCTGGTGGGTTTGTCGAATACGAAGCCGAAATTGCTAAGGTCAGCGTCTCCAATGAGAAATCTTAGCGGATCACCTGACAGCCAGGATACCTTAGGGTTCTATCCAACAACAATGCGAGAAATGTGTTGACAATATCGTGTGGAGTGCGTCAAATAGTCGTGGAGAAGTATTCTGGTGGACTGAATAATCGAGATGACCCGAGCTGATCGCGAGAAACAGAGGGTTGGTTCCGAGACTAACAGACACAACTCTGAGCCAACAAACTCCTCGATGGTTGAAATGCCTGCAGCACACACATGAATGTGAGTCCTTGACCACCTAAACACCTCCCCCAGCACAGTATGAACCAGCATTGTTCAGCATCACCTCATTTTCAGAGATGCCATTTCCAACTGAACAACTGGACCATTCGACTTCCCCTTCATCCCACAGGCAGCACAGAATCGCTGCTTCTGCTTGCTGGTTTGCTTTGGTGGAATGTACAGTTTTGGCTGGGAACATCGGCTCGGCTTGGCAGGGACAGAATTCAGATTTGTAGCCCGAGTGCGTCACTGTGAAGAATGCGACTTTTGCAGATGAGAACTGTGATCCGTGGATGTGAAAGAAATGGACGGCTCGCACAGGTTCGCTAAGCATTCGTCTGGAGCAGATATTATCTGTGTGCTCAGCCAATCCCGAGGACAGCACAGCCTGGACCATTAGGCCATGGCAGTGTGCTTATTTCTTACACGTATTTCTTACATTTACATATCTTGTATATGTTGCTCCCGATATTGCATTGCACGCAAATTAAAACATTGGGTCTCACAAAAGGCACCTCAAACTAATTAACTAGCACATTTGATTATACAGGCGATAGGAGCCCATCTCACACCAGCTAAATTGATTATATCACGATGTGGATGTGGGCTTCAAAAACGCATGTCGCACAATGTCAACTATGCCACCACGCCTTTCTCTAAGAGTCTCATCTGCCACCGCATTTCGCGGCGACGAGGTCTTCGTCCGCCGAATGAACTGAGGTGGGGTGCTCACTTTGACGTTTTGCAGGTTAGCTGATCCTGCCGTGGCTGATTTTCGGAAGACTCGCCGGCTGCTGTTCCGATTAGTAGGGTCCGCAAACAGGGCATCAATGGACTCGGAACTGCGGTTCTTTGAAAGGCTTCCGCCGTGCATTTCTTCTGTTCCGTCCTCACACGTCTCCCGGCTCCACCAGCGTCCTAACGAGCCTGGGCTTCGGCACGTCGCAGGCTGGCGGTCTTTGGTTGAGAAAGAGCCGGAATTTCTCCTCACTGAACGGAGCTGGTTTTCTTCCGCGCTTAGAAGCTCCGTTGATGATTCCGCCACTCGTGCGCTCAACTCCGCGGACGCCTGCTGCGCCTCGACGACAGCAAGCGCCGCCCCCCGAATGCGCGACCGAGCGTCGTCAATCCACACAGGATCGCACGCGAGCTCGCACATGAGCAGGACGGGCATAGCGCCTCTGCGCTGCTGCAACCTCGCCGATCCGGTAGCGCTACGTCAACATCATGACGGGGTGTGCAGTTTCCCGCTTGCGCAGGATGGTATCTGTATCCTGTTTCCTGTCCAATTGTGGTATCGCAGGTAGGAGAAATCGGAGCTTCCATCGGCGAGAGCTGACGCGGCCTCGCGTCAATGCACTGGAACGGCTCGCGCGCTCTGATGGTTGTAGTATGAGGGCTGGCGATTAAGTTGGCGCACTCCCGAGCCGCGTCGTGGCGTTCGAAGCTGCTGAGCGAGAGCGTGGAGTCTGGGGAAATGAGATCGTTCGTGCACGTCGGGTTCTGAGCGCATCGTAAGGCGACGCTGTGCATAAGTGCGGCGCTTGAAAGACTCATGGTGGATTATTCGAAGTTTTGAGAGGCTTCGGGTTCGAGTAGCTATTACAAGTGGTGTAAGTTGAATTGGGAAGTGATGGAGCCTCGCAACCTATATACATCGCGGGCGTTTGTACGGTACGATGTGGCTGCAACGGCGAGGCCGCGAGGGTACACCTGGTCCGCGGTATTTTAACCGCGCGAAAATGGGTAGCAGGATTTTGGATTATCTGGCCGTGGTGAAGATAAGGGTGCAAATTTTCGGTCATTATTTTCACCACCAAATATCTGAACAGCATGGAAAGTTTTGACAGCACTACTCAAAAGGAGCAATTCGGCTCTTTTCGCCATCTGGAATGTTCCAGAGTCGGGAAAGTAAAACCATCGACGGTGACGATTCTTTTTGGAAAATTCGAATGGGGAAATTCGCTTGCCACGTGGACGGCGCCAGCTGAAATATCAAAAAAAGGCTTGGCAACCTACAACTTGGTTCGGTCAAGTGTGAACAGCGATTTCTGGCCACCCAACAAGAAACGCCCAGCGTGCCGACAAACTTGGTTACGATACCGGCGGTTAAAATACCGCGGACCAGGTGTACTGCAGCCGAAGTGTAATTCTGTGATGGTCGCCGCCGCCGCATCCGCCGTTACAACCCGAGCGAGCGGCCGAGTCTTCGTGAACCAAGAGTCAGGGCTCTCCTTTGCAGGGTGTTTTAACCTGTTTGCCCTGCCTAACAGGGTGCTTTTTCGGCGCTACCCTGCCAGGACTGGGTCCCCCAAGGACGTCACCCGGCCACAATCCGAGTGCCTTTTCATTTTAGACGGCTGAAGCAGGCTTGCCATCGTTTTTACTCTGCACGTGAAGAGTTCCTTAGCGAAGCGCCCGGCCACTTTGTGTACGTGTTTCTGTGATTTTCACTTAGCCACTGATAGTTTTCCTTAGCCAAAAAAAAACGAATGTCCCATGTTCCTATTGGGCCGTTCCGCCGAATACCATCTAAGTACTGAGGCTCGCAGAGACATCTGTAGAGCGGTGCTGAGACAACACAGAAATGTCGAAGTGCTGAGACTCGTAGAGACAGCTGTAGAGCGTGCCGTGCCAGTCACAACACTTGTGGCAAAACAGGGTCGTCGAAAATATCACCCTGCCACAAATCAGGTGTGGCTAAAAACACCCTGCCACTACCCTGATTTTGCCGCACGCCACCCGGCCTTGGCCGGGTGGCGGGCGGCGGGAACCCTTTTTTGGAAGAGTGCCCTAAAACGAAAAGAGAGCCCTGCCAAGAGTGACTGAAGACTTGTCTTTTGTACGTAATGGCTACACCTCCTTCCCCCCGCTCGCCCCTTATGGTCGGTTCGTGGTCGGTGCGAAAGGGGCAATGCCTCCACATGTCCGCATGCTTGCAGCATTCATTTCAAACATCGAAGCTGCCTGGCTGATTTCAGAGAGAAAAGGACCAAGCAGCAATGCTCCAACAAGGATTTGTCTCGGGTAACCCGTTTAGATTCGTAGAAGCTTTTGCGGAACGCGCAGGCAACCAACCCACAACCACAAACAGATTCTTTCGCGAAACAGCGTGGTATACGCACTTGACGAAAATGTTACAGTGTAAAGCTAAACTTTTTTGGCGTCCCTTCAAGAACAACGATGATTCGCGAGTGCATTTTCCACTTCGTCTGTGGTTTTCTGTCGCATGGTGTCCTCGCCCTCACAAACGAAAGAAACGGAGTAACGTACGATCCCATGCCACTGGTCGCGTGGCACGCGCGACAGTTGATGGGTAGTTGCTTTTTCACGTGAAGTTTTGTTTCTTTTGTGATACGAATCGACGGGGGGGGATTCTCTACCCCTCAACTCGATATGGTTGATTTCGCTATACATTTAGGTCTTCCTCTGAGTCTCCAATCTATATTTCTTATGATACACAAAGTGTTCAGTGCTTCGTCAATCTCGTCGTGACAGCAGAAGTGGTGTCAGCAATCCATGCTGACGATATACTCCACCAATCACAGAAGGTTAACGTAGAGAGCAACGTCACCCTGGCGTCAGCGAAGCGGCTCTTTGTTTATTCATGTTTTTCCAGCACTGGTGTTCAGCACCTTTTAAATGTAATATTGAACAGGTGAATGACCAAGGTGAGGCAGACAAGCACCTTGCCACGACAATATATTCGTCCGTGCAAACATTTACGAAATTCCGGGCAGAGAGAGTTTCAATCCATAACTCATTGTGATATTTCTTCGTCGCTTCCACGGAGGTGCCAGGGAGACAACTGCCAGTACAGGCGTACGGTACACCTGGCGACAGTCGCCGTGTTGGCGAACTCGAGCCCAGCAGGATGTTGCCGGGTACACAACTCTCAGGGCCCCCAAACAGAACAATATACAAATCGCCCATAAACAACACGACAGCCATTTCAGAAATCTCGTTTTCTAATGTCTCTCTAGAACGTAAGCAAATGCTCGGTGGTCAATGATGTGACAAGCCCAAGAATCGCAGTTCGCGTCTTCCAGTTCAGTTCCTGTTAGAGTAATAACGCTCGTTTGCGGGTATCTGGGCTATTCAAGCTGAGTGGTAGCAGTAAGGTATTTAAGTTATTACTAATAGACCTGGTTTCAGAACAAATGGGGGAAACGGACGGATCCAAGAAGCGACAAGGGGGGAAATCGGATCACCCTGCGGCCATCATCCATCCTGGGAACCCAGACGCGGGGAATCAGGAAAGCAAGGATCATCCTAAGCTTCCAGACGGCGGAAGGCCGTTACTACTTGAAGAGAGGATGGTAGGCGACTCGCCGGTCGCCGTCTCCGAGACACCGAGAGGGGAGACGGAGGCGACCGAGAAGGATGAGAAGGATGATGAGGAGGAGGAGAAGAAGGGGAAGAAGAAGGAGAAGAAGCCGGCGGTGCCGTACTGGCGGCTCTTCTCCTACGCGGACCGCACGGACGTGGCGCTCATGGCGGTCGGCACGCTCGGCGCCGTGCTTCACGGCGCCGCGCTGCCGATCTCGTTCCTGTTCCTGGGGAAAATGGTGGACTCGTTCGGCACGAACGACCTGTCCGGCGTGAACACGGTGAGGGGCGTGAGAGAGGGACGTGATGATGGGGAGGGCGTGAGGTGAGGGCCAGGATGGGAGGGGTATGCTGTAGGAAGACGAGTACGTGTGGGTGTATCATACAGCGGCGAGTGGGCTTGTAAGGCGGACAATGTGCCTGGTTACGTTGCTTTCTTGCTTGCCTCGCTCTCTCCGTCTCTACTGTGCTAATGTTTTCACATTTTTCACTTGTGGTGTGCATGTGGTGTGTGTGTGATGTGTATATGATGTGCATGCCGTGTGCATGTGATGTGCATTTGTGTGTGATGAGCATCTGATCTGATGTGCAATTGTATGTGATGTGCATGTGTTTGCATGTAACGTGCATGTGATGTGTATGGATGTGCATGTGGCAGTTTGTCCTCGCTATGGTCTACATCGCTTTATGCTGCTTGGTTGGCGGATGGCTAGGTAATATTCATCATTCCTTTACATCAGAGTCTCAGAACTACCGCATTTTTTATACAAAGGGATCCACGTCATCATCCACGTCCTCATCCACGTAATCATCCACGTCATCGTCCATGTCTCTCCAAAACCCGGTAACTTTTCTCACCTCAAATGCCATCTCCTCCCCTTCCCCTCTCTCCAGAGGTGGCATGCTGGATGCACACAGGCGAGCGGCAAAGTGCGAGGGTGCGCCGGCTGTACCTGCAGGCGCTGCTGCTGCAGGAGGAGCAGTCTGGACCCTTGTGTTCCACTCCTCTCCGCCACTCCCCACACCTCCCTTTCTCCTCCCCCTTTCCTCCTTCGCAGAGGTGGCATGCTTGATGCACACGGGCGAGCGGCAGAGTGCAAGGGTGCGTTGGCTGTACCTGCAGGCACTGCTGCTTCATCCGGAGCGATGGGGGTACTCAGCCTTTCAGTCCTCTCCTCGCCTTCCCCCATCCCTTCCTCTTCCTCCCCCATGGCAGAGGTGGCGTGCTGGATGCACACGGGCGAGAGGCAGAGCGCGAGGGTGCGCCGGCTGTACCTGCAACTCACATTTCCCCCTCTTCCCATCTCCTCCTCTGTCCTCCGCTTCCCCTGCCATCCCCGCAGAGGTGGCGTGCTGGATGCACACGGGCGAGAGGCAGAGCGCGAGGGTGCGCCGGCTGTACCTGCAACTCACATTTCCCCCTCTTCCCATCTCCTCCTCTGTCCTCCGCTTCCCCTGCCATCCCCGCAGAGGTGGCGTGTTGGATGCACACGGGCGAGCGGCAGAGTGCGCGGGTGCGCCGGCTGTACCTGCAGGCGCTGCTGCGGCAGGAGGTGGCCTTTTTTGACCTCGAGGCGTGCTCGGGGGAGCTGGTGAACCGCGTATCATCTGATGTGCTGCTGCTGCAAGACGCCATCTCAGAGAAGGTGGGTGTGTTGGTGCCTGAGGCCCCTCAGAATATATGTTGCTGTGGCAGGAGGTGGCCTTTTTTGACCTCGAGGCGTGCTCGGGTGTGATGAGACGAGTTTTGAGTCGACTAAAAACTCGTCTCAGAATATGTGTTGCTGCGGCAGGAAGTAGCATTCTTTGACCTCGAGGCCTGCTCGGGGGAGCTCGTGAACCAGCGTGTGGCAACGTGTGGCAGCGTGTGGCAGCGTGTGACAGCGTGTGGCAGCGTGTGGCAGCGTGTGGCAGCGTGTGGCAGCGTGTGGCAGCGTGTGGCACCGTGTGGCAGCGTGTGGCAGCGTGTGGCACCGTGTGGCACCGTGTGGCACCGTGTGGCACCGTGTGGCACCGTGTGGCACCGTGTGGCACCGTGTGGCAGCGTGTGGCAGCGTGTGGCACCGTGTGGCAGCGTGTGGCAGCGTGTGGCAACGTGTGGCAGCGTGTGGCAACGTGTGGCAACGTGTGGCAACGTGTGGCAGCGTGTGGCACCGTGTGGCACCGTGTGGCACCGTGTGGCACCGTGTGGCACCGTGTGGCAGCGTGTGGCACCGTGTGGCAGGGCACCTGGCCCTACTCCACACACCTATCCTCTCTCCAATCCTCGCTTCCTTGCCCCCCAACCAGGTGGGCAACTGCATTCACTACTTCTCCACGTTCGTCTGTGGCTTCATAATCGGGTTCACCAGCGTGTGGCAGCTGCCCCTACCCCAGCCCGCTGCTCACGCCCTTGGAACCCCCCCGCTGCCTGCTGCTCGTCCTTCCCCACCTTCCCCTCTCCCCCCAACCAGGTGGGCAACTGCATTCACTACTTCTCCACGTTCGTCTGCGGCTTCATAGTCGGCTTCACCAGCGTGTGGCAGCTGGCTCTGGTCATTCTCGCCGTCTGCCCGCTCATCATCGCCACGGGAGGGATCTATGCGGCTGTGCTCACGGGCCTCATGACTCAGGGCGAGAAGGCTTACAGTGAAGCAGGGAAGATTGCTGAACAGGTACGTGTCTCAACCGACTGTCTTTTGGTTATTGGCAGGGAAGAGCAGGAAAGATAGAAGAACAGGTGCGCACAGGGCAGTCATACATGGCAGAGGACAGCAAAGAGTGCTACTTGTGAGCCCCAACCATCTCCCTCATTCCTTTCATCCTTCCCCCTGTTTGTCCACCCAAACCCCCTCCCTCCACCACCACAGGCGGTGGGGCAGGTGCCCCCAGTGCAGTCATACGGGGCAGAGGACAGGACAGCGGAGGCGTATGGGCGTTCCCCCAACGAACCCCTCACCACCCCCTCTTCTCCGTTTCTTTTCCTTCCTCTCCCCATCCCCCCTCCACCACCACAGGCGGTGTTGCAGGTGCGCACAGTGCAGTCATACGTGGCAGAGGACAGGACAGTGGAGGCATGTGGCCTCCCTCATCGCCTCGCCACCCACAACCTCCCTCACCACCCCCTCTTTACCACTCCCTCCCCTCCATCGCCCCCACCACATCAGGCGGTGGGGCAGGTGCGAACAGTGCAGTCGTACGTGGCAGAGGACAGGACAGTGGAGGCATGTGGCCTCCCTCATCGCCTCGCCACCCACAACCTCCCTCACCACCCCCTCTTTACCACTCCCTCCCCTCCATCGCCCCCACCACATAGAATCCTGTCTTCTCATGACGTCACCTTTAACAAGTCGGTTGGCTTCTACCGTCTCCACCCCCATGCGTCTTCTCCTGTCCCCCCACCGCCCCTCTTCTTGGTTCCAGGTCCCCCCCCGGTAGACCCTCTCCCCCCACAGGGTCTTGCTCCCTCTGGTGTGTCTCAGGTTGTCCCACCCCCCTTGGTTGAGCCTTTGGAGGTCTCCTCTGACACCTCTGGCCCAGCTGAGGGGGATGACCCTGGTGCTGACGATACGGCGGCCACTCGTCGCTCACCGTGCTTGGAGACCCTTCCTGTTTTTCCGCCTCGGCCATCTTTGCCGCCTCTGCAGCCTGTCGCTGTAGACTCTGGTGCTGTTGGAGGTGGTGACCCTGGGGGTGCGGACTCTGGGGGTGCTGGTTCTGGGGGTGTTGTGAGTCCTATTGGTGGTCGAGTCGTGGGTACTCCTGCTGGAGACTCTGGGAGTGGACGTCAGCCGCAGCCGAGTCAGCAGGAGACACTATCGCCGCAGCAGCTTCGCGAGTGGGCTGTCCGGTGGGGCAGCCCTGGTGGCAGGTCTTGAGGTGCTGGTGCTGGAGGTGCTGGTGCTGGAGGTGCTGGTGCTGGAGGTGCTGGTGCAGGAGGTGCTGGCGCTGGAGGTGCTGGTGCAGGAGGTGCTAGTGCTGGAGGTGCTGGTGCTGGAGGTGCTGATGTTGGGGGTGCTGGTGCTGGAGGTGCTGGTGTTGGAGGTGCTGGCACTGGAGGTGCTGGTGCTGGAGGTGCTGGTGCTGGAGGCTCTAGTGCTGGAGGTGCTTGTGCTAGAGGTGCTGGTGCTAGAGGTGCTTGTGCTGGAGGTGCTGGTGCTGGTGGTCCTTGTGTTTCGCCAGGAGACTCTCTCGCCGCAGTAGCTTCACGAGTGGACTTTCCATTGGGGCAGCCCCGGTGGTGGTGGAGCTGGATCTGCTGGTGCTGGGAGTGCTGGTAATGATGCAGCTAAAGGTGCTGGTGCTAGAGGTTCTCGTGCTGGAGCTGGAGGTCCTACCAGACCCGTCACTGGAGGTTCTGGGGGTGCGATTACTCAGCAGCAGCCGTCCGCGCTTCGCCACCTTCTCAGTCTCCCGCCTGCTGTTGCTGAGTTCCCTGTTGCTGGTACTACTCTTCCGTTACTGTTTCCACCAGCTGACCCATCTCAGCCACTGTTACTGCGTGACTCCTCACTGCCTGCCCCGCTCCTTACACAGAGGTGACAGAATCCCTGACTGAGAGTAGAGAGCCTGCGTCGCGTCCTGTCACGCCTGTTCGTACTCGTCGTGCTCCTCATGCTCGCCCTCTTCCTGTCCCCGGCACTCACACTATGGCTCTTCGTCTTCCTTTGTTCAACAGTGTGTAGTCCTGCCTTCGCCGCCTGCGTCATCTTCCAAGACGTTCCTCACTCTGAGTCTAACCTTGCTTGTGCTGCTAGTCCCACTGTCATGTGTGTCCTGGCCACACTTGTCACTGAGCCTTCCTTTGCGTCTACTTCTACGTCTGACTTAGTCACTGAGTTTGTTGACTTCGCTTCTGCCTGTCATCTAGACTACATTGTGAGTCTTATTACTGGGTCAGAGTCTAAATGTCCTCCGTCCGTCGGGGGTGAGCTTGCCCTTGGCTGTGACGTCCTTGAGGACAGACAGTTTGAGCTCGAGTGCCTTGCGACTGCTGTTCCTCATCTCGATACCATGCTGCTTGCTCCTGAGAGAAACTCGGATGCACTGGATATCCCGACCCCGCGCTCTTACGCGGAGGCGATTTTGGGTCAGCACTCCTCTTAGTGGCCCCCTCCTAGGGCGAACATAGTTGATGGCATGTGGATTTTCAGGGTGAAGCGGCCGCCGGGTTCCCCGCCTGCCTTTAAGGCGCGATACGTTGTACGAGGCTTCAGTTAGCAACAAGGGGTCGACTTCTTCCAGACCTTCAACCCCACCCCAAAGATGACCACTCTTTGAATATTACTGCACGTTGTATCACAGCGTGATTACGAGCTCCACTCGATTGACTTCAGCACAACTTTCTTACAGGACAGCCTTCACGAGGAGATCTGGCTGCACCACCCACATGGCTTCACTGGGTCGTTTCCTGAGGGTACCTAGTGGAGCCTTCGACGGCCAGTCTACGGTCTCCGTCAGGTGCCCCGCGAGTGGCAGGACAGACTGAGGACTACGCATGCGGCTCTTGGGTTTGCTCCTTCGACTATTGACCCATCGCTGTTTCTGCGCACTGACCCTTCTCTGCCGCCGTTCTACATCCTCGTGTACGTCGACGACTTGGTCTTTGCCACTGCTGACATTGAGGAACTGGCCCTTGTGAAGGCAGAGCTGCAGAAGAGACACACCTGCACTGAATTGAGTGAGCTGCGCAGCTATCTTGGCTTGCAGATCACCCGGGACACAGCACGGCTCACCATCACTCTGACTCAGTCACACAAGGTGCACCAGGTCCTTCAGCGCTTCGGCTTCCAGTTCTCCTTGGCACAGTCCACTCCTCTGCCTGCAGGCCACTTGCTCTCAGCTCCACCTTCATACGAGTCCGTAGAGCCAAGTGGTCAGTATCTAGAGCTTGTAGGCTGCCTCATGTACTTGATGACTTGCACTTGACCTGACCTCGCATACCCTCTCAGCATCCTGGTGTGCTACGTTGCATCCGGGAGACACCGACCAGAGCACTGGCGGGCTGCTACGAGGGTGCTGCGTTTCTTGTGCAGTACATCGGGCATGGGGTTTGTGCTTGGAGGACGGGACTTATTTGTACTCACAGGTCACGCAGACGCTTCTTGGGCTGACGACCAGGCGACTGAGCGGTCGTCACAGGGTTACACTTTCAGCCTCGGCTCCGGTTCTGTCTCCTGGAGGTCCACCCGCTCTTCTTCTATTCTCAGCTCCAGTTGTGAGGCAGAGATCTACGGGGGGGTCATGGCTGCACAGGAGTTACGCTGGCTGACCTACTTGCTGACAGACTTGGGTGAGAGGCCTCATTCTACTCCGATTCTATACGTCGATAACAAGGCCTCGATTGCCTTGTGTCAGGAGCAGAGATTGGAGCACTAAACGAAGCACATTGCTCTTTGTTACTTCCTCGCTTGAGAGTTACAGCAACGTGGTCAGCTTCGCCTTGCTTACGTGGCCACACGGGCCAACACTGCTGATATTTTCACCAAGGCACTTGAGTCTGGTGATCATCAGCGTTTCTGCACTGCTCCAGGCCCAGTGACTAATTTGCCTCACTTGCTTACTACTTGAATTTGTCTTGTACTGTGATCTATATATGTACCTGCATGCTTACTTGTGCTAGGTTGTGTTCTCTGTACTGCTTGTGCTTTTACAGCTCAGCATGTGAACTGGCCTTATGGCCACTTGCTTGTGCTCAGACTGCGTGGTGATCTTGAGATCCTGTGAGAATAATAGGAATGAATGAGAGAAGATGATTGCACTAGCAAGCAGTTGAGTACATATAGGAAACCCTAGATTGGGCTGTACTCACTATAGAGTACCCCACTGCAGGCTAGACAAATATGACATTCTGACACACCCCCATAGCCAAAGTGGGGTGTAATCAGCACAAGAAGCAAAGCAAAACAAAAGACAAGCTCAGGGTGGATCACAATGTCACCACACATTCTGAGCACAAGTAAGCAAGCAATAGTTCACAATAATAGTAAGCAAAGCTAGAAGCTATCACAGAGGGCAAGTGTGGAGGAGGAGGGACTATGAGAGGAGAGGAGGTAGTGGGCAGCAGCTGAAGCTGCTGGCACACGGCGCAACTGGAGCAACTGGCACACGGGCAACTGGAGCAACTGGCACACTGGCAACTGGAGCAACTGGCACACGGGCTACTGGAGTAACTGGCTCCGCGGCTAACTCTGAGCGGCAGGAGCAACGGACTCACGGGCGATTGGAGCAACTGGCTCACGGGCGACTGGCGCAATGGGCTCACGGGCGACTGGCGCAACGGTCTCACGGGCGACTGGAGCTGCGGGCTTCACGACACAACCTGCTCGATACCATGAGAAAAGTAGAACGAGAATGAATGAACTATGAATGAAGTGAGTACATATGGGAAACCCTAATTGGGTTGTACCCCCTATGGGATACCCCACTATAGCCTACACAACAGCATAAGCTATATATATGTTCTGACACACCCCCATAGGCAAAGTGGGGGAGAACAAGGGGTCACAAGACCAGTCAAGCAAAGCAGAGCAAGCTCAGGGTGGATCACAAAGTCACCACACAGTCCGAGCACAACGACAGGGCAACAGGGCCAGTTCACATGCAGGAGTACACATATATATATAGAGCTAGACAAGCAAGAGCAGGTATATATATGTGACAGTACAAGCAAGGTCAAGAAGAGAGCAAGTGAGGCAAGACAGGTACAAGACCCAGCTGGGTGCAGAAGCGCTGATGGTCACAAGGCGCAAGTGCCTTGGTGAACACATCAGCAGTGTTGGCCTCAGAGGCCACGTACGCAAGTCGCAACTGACCACGCTGCTGCAGCTCACGAGCAAGAAATTAACGGAGAGCAATGTGCTTCGTTCTGTGCTCCAAGCGCTGCTCTCGACACAAGGCCAGCATGGCCTTGTTGTCTACGTACAACACTGGAGGAGAACGAGGCGGCTCTCCAAGGTCAGTCAGCAGGTAGGTGAGCCAGCGAAGCTCCTGTGCAGCCATGGCCCCGGCGTAGATCTCAGCCTCACAACTGGAGCTGAGAACAGAGGACGAGCGAGTAGCCCGCCACGAGACAGAGCCGGAACCAAGACTGAAGGTGTAACCCTGCGACGACCGCTGTGTAGCCTGGTCGTCTGCCCAAGAAGCGTCCGCGTGCCCAGTGAGGACCACTGGACTCCGCCCTCCAAGCACTAGCCCCATGCCCGACGTACTGCACAAGTAGCGCAACACCCTCTTCGCTGCAGCCATGTGCTCTGGTCGGTGTCTCCCAGGAGCAACATAGCGTGAAAGAATGCTAAGAGGGTATGCAAGGTCAGGTCGTGTGCAGGTCATCAGGTACATGAGGCAGCCAACAAGCTCTGGGTACGGGCCACTCGACTCTACGGACTCATCCGAAGGCAGAGCTGAGAGCGAGTGGCGAGTAGACAGAGGAGTGGCCT